TTGGCTTTGGTCAAGACTTACTGATTTGAATTTAAACCGACAATAAAATAGTTCCTTAATTTAACCATAACTTTTGAAGAATTTAACCATAACTTTTGAAGAATTAAATATTATAAAAAGCAATCACATTTTTGCAAAATTACGGGAATTGGGCATTTATTTGGAGATATGTTTTATATTCAAAACTCAAAGTACATGTGTATTTGATTTCTTCATATATTAAGATTCAAACTTCTGATTATTTAGTTATCAAACATACTAACAATGTTGTGGCCTAGAGCCTAATGTGATATTTTGTTATGAAAGGGAAGTTCCTGGTATTAAAAAAACAAATCTATATATTAACAAAAAACATGTCAGATAGTAAGAGATGACCTTAGATCAACAACACTTGTCAATTGGCAATATCGAATGGTCATCAAAGAAAGCACATTTTGTAATGTGATTAAGAATGTGCTTGTATTACAAGATTCTAGAAGAATTACTGTGCTTTATTAAACTCTTTTATATGAGGGAACTTCCAGGCTAGTGATAACAGATTTATTTTTCACAACAGCTTTAACCATTATTTAGTTTTCAATACAAATATAGATATGCCAAGATGTTCCAAAGTATTTAATATTTTGTATCAACTTTTTTTCTTCTTTGAATTTCAATCGACAACTTTCACTAACTGGAAATTAAAATATTGAAGCCAAAGGCAAAATAAATAACTTCATGAAAATGACAGAAATTTGCGCCCTTCTCTACTGAATATTCAAAACATTTTTGTGAATGTGGTATAATTGAATGGACAAGGAACAAAAACAAGGCTGCATGGGTAGATGGGAAAAAATGCATGTTTCAACCTTTCAAAAGAATTTAATCATCTGACTTGTTAAGCAATGTTGAAAAATGAAATAAATATCTACTTGGTCCATTTGCCACGGAGGGGCAGCACTTATTACCAAATATAGCACAAGCATCATTTGTATAGACCAACCTTTAAAATTTTACCATTCATTTTTATAGTGGCGTGAACGTGGGGTGTTATTGACATGCAAGAATAGTGGGTTTTTTTGGTAAATATTATTTCTGGGAGCTGATTAGCTTTCAGCAATAGCAGCCGGCTTCGTCTTGTTGGAAGTCGTTCTCTGGTTCCTTCTGGTGGAGTGTTACTGGAACTGGGTTAGGAGGCAAGATGTTAAGGAAAAGAGTAGGAAATAAGATATTCCCACACCCACATACACACACACACACAAGGTGGAATGAGATGGTATTATAATGTGGAGTTTGAAGAATATGACTTTAGAGAGTGAGCTTAGGTAGAGTTTGATGCTGCTAAAGGAGCGTAAAAGGGGATATTGTAGTGACTGATAATGAGTGATGGTGCCTGAAGATGATAGTGGTGGTGCTGATGATGATGGTGGTGGTGGTGGTAGTGATGATGATGATGGTGGTGGTGGTGATGATGGTGGTGGTGGTGATGATAGTGGTGGTGGTGGTGGTGGTGGTGGTGGTGGTGATGATGGGGGTGGTGGTGGTGGTGCTGCTGATGATGATTGTAATGATGATGGTGACAATGAAAATGAGAAAGATGATGGTGATTGTGGTGGTGGTGGTGCTGATAATGATGGTGGTGCTGATATGATGGTGATTGTAATGATGATGGTGACAATGAAAATGAGAAAGATGGTGGTGATGGTGGTGGTGGTGGCGCTGATAATGATGGTGGTGCTGATAATGATGGTGATTGTAATGATGATGGTGACAATGAAAATGAGGATGGTGGTGGTGGTGATGATGGTGATTATAATGATGATGACAATGAAAATGAGAAAGATGATGGTGATGGTGGTGGTGGTGGTGCTGATGATGATGGTGATTGTAATGATAATGGTGACAATTAATGTAAATGAGGATGATGATGATGATGATGATGATGATGATGATGGTGGTGGTGGTAGTGCTGATGATGGTTACAATGTAAATGAGGATGACGATGATGATCTTAATGGTGGTGGTTATGATGGTGATAATAATAGTGATGATGATGATGAGGATGGAGATGATGAATAAGATAAAGGTTATGAGAATGATGACAATGAAGATGGTAATTATTACATTTCTATTAATACAGATGACAGCATCAAGCATTGATAATATCCAACTGACAACAATGATAATGATGAGGGTACGTAGCAGCTAATTAGAACACAATGTTAATAGTGGTATGAAAAAACATCATCTAGCATGAAACCTGTCAATCATGAATACACACCACACCCCCTCAACAGATTAAGATAACAATTATAATGATAGCATGAAAAAGTCAAAGGTCAATGAGATTTGGATGTTTCCAATTTCAATTAACATACACAGGATAGCATCAATATTGGCAATTAAATTGATGACCTTGCATTTACCAATGGTGAAAGTGACATGTTATATATTTAATTTGTGCAGTGAGTTTAATGTATAAAGCCTCATTCAAACTCGATACCTCAAAAAAAAAGCATCATGGCATAGTAAAAATATAGCTTGGAACAACTTTGTTATAGAATGACTAAACATTCTGTCATTCTGCAACAAACTTATATCAAATTTAATATTTCATAAATTTGATCTATGGTTGTTAGGAAACCCAAATGTTGTGAAAGTTCCTCAAATTAGTTAATATATTGTATTATTATTTTGTAGATTTTTATTAAGATGTCTATAGTATTCAAATATCAAATATAAAAATAATCTGTGAATATATTCTCTAAAGCTTGGATTTGACCTGAAGTATAGCATGGTGGTCCGTCTCTGGCATCCTTAGATCATTTTTCAGAAGACCCGTACAACCGATATTGTTGTACTTGTCAGCGTTATAATATAATCCAACTTGCGTGAACACTTGCATACAGATGACTCTAGATATAACATGCAGATGGATGTATATGAGCACAATCATGCAAAAAGTTAAAAGGTTTATGCCATTTCACATGCCACATTTAACATTCACATTCATGAAGCAAAACAAAGACACAACAATAAACTAAATAAAAATTGCTTAAAAGACATCATTTAAAGCAAGAATTGTAAATCAATTTTATTGACCAATCATACAGCCACAGGTGATGCTTATGGACTCCATTAGACTGTACAGGCTAGGTGAAATACACAATTATGGAATGATGCCAAACTGATAAGGCTGAAGAAAAATAAACTGGCTAAAAAAAAGTAATACAGTTCAGGTCCATTGACACAAAAACAGTTTAAACCGAGACTAATCACAATCACAATCAGAGTGTGAATGAACAAACTCATTAATTACAAAAGAGTCCATTCGTTTTTTAAATGTGTATGGAACATACTCAAAACAACGTGGGAGTTTAGGGTTTCAATGATAATGACAGCTTTATATGGTCGACTACTAAAGACTAAGGATTATCCATATTCATTGAACAGAGAATTTAACCTGAATTGTGAAATGTAATTACAATTATCTGTATGGCACATGTCCCCTCACAATGCCCCACGTATATGAATAAATAAAGCATCAGAACACATACAATATTAAAAACTGATCTAAACATACAGAATTATAATATCTGTTCACCTAGTTTGCCACACCCCCCCCCCCCCCCCACCTCCTTCCCCTACCGTCAATTTTAATGTCAAAGACAGTTTTACAGGGATAGCCATTTTGTACAAGAGAGCTGATTGTTGAAGCTTGTTAACTTGTAAACTAGATGTATAATTGTATATGTATGAAACTATCAATTTTTGAGAAACATACACCGTATAACATATTTGTAATATAAAGCCAAACAAATTAATAATATCATAATGAAGGTAATATTTCTATTGTATTAACTATAAAGAACATTTAATTATCAACAGCTATGCTTTTCGATCAGTGAAAATTAAATCATTCAGATTGGCAGCCTAGTTGAATACAAGTAATATCAAAATAAGATAGTGCAAACTGAACAACAATAAGAAAAAAAATCATAAACAGTATCATTTGAGCTCTACATTCCTTTGTATAAAACAGAGTTTCATAAATATATTCACAATATGATGTACACAAATACGAACAATCGTTAGAATAGTTTCTTCTTCTTTCTCTTCTCTAAGGCTATAACTCAATATAACATCTGTCTCCTTTTTTTTAAACACTTTATACTGACAGCAACTCTGAAGAGCACAAGAGGTCCATGAGAAAGTTAACATTTTTAACCAAAAATGTTAATACATTTAAAAAGACAAGAAAAGAAATGTCTCAATAATTTAATTAATCAGTTGTTTTACATGACACAGTATTGTACTATCTATTATTCAAAACTTTCTTCTGAATTAATAAGAAATTAGAATGTCCGCATTTTGGTTTTGAGTCAAATACTTACAGATACAGGTCCCAGATATACATGATATGTTAAATCAGGTGTTTCCAAAACTGGTCTATATCTTTAATGTGAAAAAGGTAACAAATTGTGGATATCATCCAGTAAGTACAGGGTTCTCATGAAATCATATCCCTATCTGTCTGTGTTACAAACACGATCACAAAGGCTTTCAAGGAAAATCAACACAAAGGCAATTCCAAAACCCTATAGAGTACCGAAATGTGACGTCATATTAGCCAAGTTGTCAAGGTTGCTGGTTCAATAAAATGTTGTGCTAAACATTGGCGTGGTGATCACACCAGTGCCAAACATGGAATTTGCCCTGCTCTAGCCCTTTGCTTGTATGATGTCGCGGTGTACCTCATGCGTAGGCTCTGTTGTTTGGAACCTGTAACCTGGACGACGAGCAAATATGACGTTAGCACTTGGGTACTCTATTGCACTGCGTGTAGAAATCATGTATGGATTAGGGAATATGTTCTTGTAATATTCCCACATTTCAATAGAGGATGCACAAGGCTGTTAAAAGGATATTTCTTGAAAGTCTTTGCTACCGTATTTAGTAGCTATCCATAGTATGGACAGACTGTAAGCACCAGAGATCAATTCAATTATCAATTCTCAATATTTTATCATGATTTTTATTAAGACTTTTATTTTAATACTATATACAGATACCTACAATGTATATTAGAGTTTAATAACTATAAAGAATTAATTATATACAAATACATAGCTTATGTTACAGTCTCTATCATTTAACTTGCATCCATTCTTGTAAGGCAAAGCAGCTAAAATCAAGGCCTCCAAAATAGTAAATGATATTCAAATCCCATGAAAATTTATGTCAAATATAAGAAGAATTAAAATCTACATGTGTTGAATTGTGTAGAAAAGTATAATTTCATCAGTTTGGATCCCCCCAAAATGATATGAGTTTAACACCCTTCTGTGATAATGATGATGAACCAAACATTTTTTTCAGTCCACTTGAAGCACTAACAATTTTCAACTTCATAACATTTGGAGGCAGCATAGATTCGTGCACAAGTGCGCAAATGATTTATATTGCTTTGATTTCAAATTTCCTTTGCTACTATCCTCCCAAGTGAAAATCATCGCATATTTAAAATTAAAAAAATTAAAAAAAACATAGCCCAAGATATGATAGCTTTAATCTGAGCTACCCTTCTTGTCCAATATCTCTCAAAGTACATTCCTATAATACAATGCAATACATTGACTGTAAGCCATGACTTTGAAATGATTTATGAGAGCAAGGAGGACATAAAACTCTGGGAAAGATACTTATGCCCTTCTTGTTCCCAAAAGCGATGACAAATAAAACTGTCGTAATACGGAGTACAGTAAACATGGAACACTATGCGCCATATTCCATCTTGTGCATTTTATGCATGTACATCGATTAAGAACATGCATAAAACATTCATTGTCCGATGATTTCTCTGAAGTAAAGCCCAATTCACATATGAAGCATTAATTCATGACAATAAACACATGTTTGTTCACTTCCTTGCAGCTTACAGAGACACATGTGAATGATGCCGAAATCTCCCCTTTGTGATTTACAAGAAGCACAACTTTGTTCATTTGAAAAAAACGCAAGGAGTTCATGAATGGCGCGGAGTGTTCAACATTTACGGGATACTGACAATCTAGATGATTGGTCAATTTCAACATGCGCAACCGCCTTCGCTGCCTGTCGTCTCCTGCTGTTGGTTCTTCTCAAGACTGACTTCAATCACTGCAGGATGGAAAGAAGGTCAAACAGAGGAAGGAGAAAGAGAAGGAGACAGTGGAAGAAGGAAGGAAGGGATGGAGAAATGAAAGATGTGGGAACGAACGGGGAAGCAGTCAAGGAAACTAAACATAACAATCATGCCACAAAAAATAATACATCGAGGATTGCTCCAAATGATATGCGGAAATAATAATACAGAGACGCTTTGGGGAAATAATAAGTACAAATAAGCATAACTTTAAATAAGGTTTATCTATATATGTATACATGTATTTATATATTATATATAGCTACAAATAATAGGATGTCTTTAGTATGGACAAAAAAGATGAAGCGCATGACTTCAATTATCTGGCATTCTATGGGCATCATTACAATACAGCCCAAGTACAGTTTTGGAAGCAAATAGAAAATCAGGACAAATTTGTTAAATATAGTCCCATAGTCTTTTGGTTGTATCAACAGAAACATGTGAAAGGTATTATGATGTTCCATCCAGGATTTCCAATAGAATTTAGTGCTAATATCTGAAAGGATTACCAGGGAGTGTTTCACAAAACTTGTTATCAGTGACAAATGACAGTTTTTGTTATAAGCTACTGAAATTCCTGCTTCTGATTGGTTATCAGCAGATTCGTCACTGATTTTTGTCATTTGTCATTGAAAAAAGGCTGTGTGAAACGGGTCCCAGATCACAGCTATGAAGAGCCCTACATGTACGCTAGGATCCTTCGACCCCCATGGCTCCCTGGACTACAATCTCAGTGATTTACCGGGACATCACAAAGACGCCTGGATACACAACCCTGACAGATGTTACGTGTAGCTGGTGCAAAATGATTGTTGCAATTAGTGCCATTTTGATAAAAATATTGTCAATTTCAAGAGCATTTCCCACCTGGCTGTGCTCTTCGTTCAGGATAGCATTCTCTTCCATGTCCTATTATCACTAGACACCTTTTGATTTTAATAAACTAAATACATTTTCTTTTCCTGCAGAAATCTACATTTAATCTTGTTTTCAATCAAATTTACAAAGGCATTACACCTACATATCTTTAAACTATAAACAATATGCACAATTACACATACCAGGGGGCGTTTCACAAAACTTGTCATCAGTGACAAGTGACAGTTTTTGTTATAAGCTACTGAAATCCTTGCTTCTGATTGGTTATCAGCAGATTCGTCACTGATTTTTGTCATTTGTCATTGAAAAAAGGCTTTGTGAAACAGGTCCCAGGATGTGCTTATCCTTAGCAAACAGTCATGCACTAAATATTTGACATGCACACAGGCTTTTACACTACCTTGTTCAAAGTCCATGTTGCGTCCTTCTCAAAAATAAATAAATAATTGTGACGAAAGCACAGAGAGCACCAACTGGTACATCTGTTGCATAAGAGGATTTATTCCCAATGTGACAGACTTTACTTCAGCATCAAAAAGGGTTCCTAAACTTGCTGGAAATATACATTCCATAACCTTCTTTCTTGTGATATTCTTACAACAAAAAGTTTGTAAATAGAATGTTGTGCACATATGTTTGTTTGATATAACGTCCATGTATCATGAATATTACGGTGATTGATATGGTATAAGGTATGCTGACCTATGTATGTATCAGTGTATGTGACTGATATTAGCCCGTTAGCACAAGCCTTCCAAGCAAACTCTGTTTATAGGGGTATATACTCATGTGGATTTGAATAGGTCAGAGTATATGACAAGTATTGTAGATGAGGGATATAAAGGAAAAAAAAGCATTCTCACTAAGGTGACTTTGGGGAATGTACTATCTTCCTTTCCAACAAACAAGTAGCCCCGAGATCAACTTGGTAAGAATATTTCATCCAACAGCTCATGGAATCGATCAATATTTTCTTAACACTATAAAACCAGAAATTTCTGCATGCATGAACCGTTCATGACTTTCGCAAGTGGTGCAGATTTACGAAGGTTCCATCCTGTGAACGACTAAGTCACAACTGAAACAACATTGAATTTTTGCAATTCTCAATGGTTCTTGCTATGAAAATGGCATTGTTTTAACAATCGTAACAGTTTCATGTCGTGAAATTGTACGTTTTTGCAGTAATCAATATGTACATCCTTGTTCAGATATGTGGTGGTTAACAACATTTTTGAACAAAAATATAATGTAAAATAATATGATATACGTCACATTTTTGTACTATATGAAACAAAACTAAGTTAATATGCATAAAACCTTTGGTGTGCACAGTTACCATTCAATTACCCGCCAAAAGCACAGATTTTTATGTGACAGTTTTTGGCATCATACATGTATCTGAACGAGCAGTTTACAGGTAGTAATTATTTGGTAGCTAATCAACTTTCTATGAAAAAGGATACTGTCACCAGCTGGTTTAGTTTGGTCTGCAGACTCCATGCCTGGTAAAGCTGCTGCTACTCGTCTGAACAACTGAAAGAAAAAGAAAGAAAAATACCACAATGTTTAGGTCAAGTAATTTATCTTTACACTGTAGTTATAATTCAATCACAAATCTGATTGAGTATCTGACTATAGATACATCACTCTAACTAGGCTGCTTTCATGGTTGTAGGAAACAATCTCCAACAGCAATTGCCTATACTAGGTCAAGTACAAACTTTCAGCACTGATAAATTCAACCTGAGACATAACTCTTTTACTAACTTTAACTCTCACCTAACCTAAAACCTACAGCAACCGTAAAGTTAAAGCCCAGAGCAAGTCTTGCATCACCTCTTTCACTATCTGTGTTTGCCGTAACTACTCTAGTTATGAGCCTAACTTATTACACTGCATCATCCTTGATAACAATTTTTATCATGATTATGAAATAGAAAAATCAGTGCTGCAGGTAACATTCTTGAAAGTGAAACAGTCAATTTGCAGAGAGGGTATGAATTGAAACTTTCAAGGATTATAAAATTCAGCCACATATTATATTTTGTAAATTTCAGGGCTGCAGACTTAGATTTTGATCACCTTGGACACACAGGCACCTGTTGAAGGCATCGTTAAAGAATATTAAATCTGAGAAGCACGGCCCTACGTGTTATTAGTGTCTGTGATATGGTGTTATATTGAAGCCCTTAAAAAATTGCGCTTCAAAATGATCAAGAAGTGCCTCAAAAAAGTAAAAAGCTTTGAGTGACCGGTTTTACCATACTTGTTTTCCCCAATAGACTGTAGTGTTATGAAAACCGTTTGGCAAACGCAAAATTTGATTTCGATTTTCAATCTGATAATCAGACAGGCAATCGGTTTGTAAAAGTCATGGGGTTCCTGACTGACCTAAAGGTTTATAATTATCATTGCAGCATGAGCTAAATCAAGGATTTTTTAAAAGGATCAAAGTTACCGGATCCCTTTAATGTCAAACCCTGATGTAATACAAAGATCTCTGACGTACAAATAAAAGATGTGCTTACTTGTTTAACATTGTAGCCTGCCTTGGCACTAGTTTCAATGAACATCACATTTAGTTCCTTGGCTTTACGTTCTCCTTCATCTATTGAAACTTGCCTGCAAAACAAATATACATCCACAAGAATTAAAAACATGTGAGCAAGGTAAAAACAACAACCCTCAAACGACTTGACACTAACTACAAAACAAAAATGTAGACGTAGAGGTAGCATCGTCAAGACGATTGAAGATATTCAACACTGGGGCTTAATCCTCAGCACATCATTACGTGTACAAATTTTGAACAATTTGTTTTCACAAAGAATGGCTTCTGGAAACAAAAAGTTACTTTCTTCCAACATGAGGTTTATTTGAAGGTAACATGTTTTTTTGCTAACTCTAACGATGTAGCAAAGAGTTAAAAGTAAGAGATCAAATTTCTTAAGTTCATTCATGTGTTTTGAAAACCATTTAATGAATTGTTAGCACAAACTGGCTTTATAAAGCCTCTACTGATATACTACTGATTTGTGAAAGTTACATGCCATACAACTATTAACATAGTGACTAGCATTAATTTTTGTAATTTGCAAAAAATTCTAATTTTAGAGTGCATATCTCACCTCTTGTCAGCTAAATCAGTTTTGTTTCCTACTAGCATGATGATGACATCACTCCCTCTCTCAGTACGAACATCATCTATCCATTTTGATGTCTGGTGGAAAGAGTTGGCATCTGCACAAAAAGATAACAATTTTTATGAAATTAATAAATTATTTTATCGACTGATTATAAAATAATGCCTCCAGATAACTTCTGTTTCCTACAAACCTGCCTAAAAAATCACTGTCAAACTCACCATTCAGAAACTGGGACCAAATGTCCGGATTTCTGTTTGGACTTGGAGGAAAATGGATTATTCTGCCATCTTTGGTTTTTAAAACAGCATTGTTTACTGTTATTATTATTAAATCGGCACCTTTAACTGCAACTCGAAGTAAAATTGTGTGAGTTATCGGAGACAGACCTGGGATACTGCTCCCGTAGTATGGTGGTGGTAAAAAAAATATTTAAAAAAATTATTTTAAAAAAAACCTGGCGTCCGCATATTGAAGTATTCGCTTGTAAGCCTGTGAGTGTACTCGGGTACCTCATTACACGGTTGTGCACAGCCTAACATTACAGTTCCTCTGGCAATTACAAGACGTTCATTTCCCTAAATATTCATTGGGATTTCGCGGGGGAGAACAACAACAACAACAAAACAGCAACTAGTGATATCAATTTTTCATTAAAAAATATAGACCTTATACATGTACATGTATACACCTACAGTACAATGTATACCCCATTTCACAAATGAGGCACAATTTTCAGCATCCTGTTTTGATCAGAATCATGGGCATCTCTCCAGAAACTCAGATACAGCTTTCTATTTCTTAAAAATTATGCAAAATATGATCCACTGTACATTATTTGAAAAAAACTATTATGTTCTCTTCTCTTTAATTAAATTAATTGCAACTTTTCCATTTTCCTCAACCAGTTTTTCTGAAGACTAAAATCAATTTATAAATCATCTGTTGAGAGCGAAGGATAACGTGTGCCTTTCTGGCTGTCAGAAGATGAAATGTACAGGAGAAAGATTTAGAGGACTTTGTTATTGTAAAGATTTTTTGCTTCAATTAGCACGACTGTAAGCTTGAAGGGGGAAAAAAAAGCAGCAGCAGCAAGAATAAGTTGGGCCTGAAAGAGAGAAAGAGAGAGAAAGAGAGAGGGGGAGTGTATAGTCAAAGTTTTGCATTCTAGTAGGGAGAGGGAATTAATATTCAAAGCCGAAGGAAAAGAACAATTAATTTATTCTAACTTTCTACTGTAATCTCCAATGTAAATTCAAAAGAATTGCATGAGTAAATTTTGAATAATGGCAGACTCCATACATTTTGAATAGCTGGGTCCTTGCATAAACTCTCATGAGTGCCCTACATTACCATAAACAAACACCCCTCAATATTCCCAGACTGTTATCAGTTCTCCAGACAAGATCCCCATGCTTGTACTGCACACAAGCTCTCCTTTGCAAGAGCACTTTCATTAACATTCAAAGACACACAATGTACATGTATATTGTAAAATGTACACAGTGGGTTCATCAATACATACAAATGTATTTATTGTGTGATAGAAATTTCAGAAAAGCTCTGCATATTGGGAAACAATGTCCTTAAAACTCTGTCTTGCTCTAAATCTTGAAACAAAACCCCATACAAGCCTCCATGTTTGCTACATGTACATGTATTGTAGGCCTACATTTTCATCCTTCTATTTTCCTGAGGAAAAAGCAGAATCACCTTATCCAAACCATTTTTATATGTGTACAGTATGCAACCCATGTCTGCATTATGAACAAACGAGGCCGGAAAGAGGCCAGATAGAACACGACTCTAGAGATTGCAAACGCTCTCCATTCTCAATTTTGTTTTAATCATTTAATGCTAAAGAGTCTCAGATTGTAGAGTGACACAATACCAGGAAGTGAGGTAGAGTAAGAAAGAGGGATAGGGATGGAGAGGGAGGGGAGGGAGGGGAGGAGGTGAGAGAGGGAGGGGAGGGGTGAGAGAGGGAGGGAAGGGGGTGAGAGAGGGAGGGAAGGGGGTGAGAGAGGGAGGGAAGGGGGTGAGAGAGGGAGGGGAGGGGTGAGAGAGGGAGGGGAGGGGTGAGAGAGGGAGAGGAGGGGAGGGGGTGAGAGAGGGAGGGAAAGGGGTGAGAGAGGGAGGGGAGGGGTGAGAGAGGGAGGGAAGGAGGTGAGAGGAGGGGAGGGGGTGAGAGAGGGAGGGGAGGGGTGAGAGAGGGAGGGGAGGGTGAGAGAGGGAGGGAAGGGGGTGAGAGAGGGAGGGGAGGGGGTGAGAGAGGGAGGGGAGGGGTGAGAGAGGGAGGGGAGGGGAGGGGGTGAGAGAGGGAGGGGAGGGGTGGGGGAGGGAGGGAAGGGGGTGAGAGAGGGAGGGGAGGGGTGAGAGAGGGAGGGAAGGGGGTGAGAGAGGGAGGGGAGGGGGTGAGAGAGGGAGGGGAGGGTGAGAGAGGGAGGGAAGGGGGTGAGAGAGGGAGGGGAGGGGGTGAGAGAGGGAGGGGAGGGGTGAGAGAGGGAGGGGAGGGGAGGGGGTGAGAGAGGGAGGGGAGGGGGTGGGGGAGGGAGGGAAGGGGGTGAGAGAGGGAGGGGAGGGGTGAGAGAGGGAGGGAAGGGGGTGAGAGAGGGAGGGGAGGGGTGAGAGAGGGAGGGAAGGGGGTGAGAGAGGGAGGGGAGGGGTGAGAGAGGGAGGGGAGGGGGTGAGAGAGTGAGGGGAGGGGAGGGGGTGAGAGAGGGAGGGGAGGGGTGAGAGAGGGAGGGGGATGAGGTGAGAGGGGGAGGAGGTGAGAGGGGGAGGAGGTGAGAGGGGGAGGAGGTGAGAGGGGGAGGGGAGGGGGGAGAGGGGGAGGGGAGGGGGTGAGAGAGGGAGGGGAGGGGAGGGGTGAGAGAGGGAGGGGAGGGGAGGGGTGAGAGAGGGAGGGGCGGGGTGAGAGGGGAGGGGAGGGGGTGAGAGAGGGAGGGGCGGGGTGAGAGGGGAGGGGAGGGGGTGAGAGAGGGAGGGGATGGAGGGGAGGGGTGAGAGAGGGAGAGAGAGAGAGAGAGAGGGGGGCAAGAGACTGAAAGATGTAGATGTAGGTTGAGGTTAAGGGAGAGAGAGGGGAGATTGGAAGATAGTAAGAGAAAAAGAGAGTGTAAGAGAGAACTTGACAGACATGCAGAGTTGCAGACAGAGAGAAATAGAGAGATCTATACACGAGGAAGGAAATGCAGCCGACCTATCAGGATCACTGCAATTGTCTGACGTTAATGAAAAGTTCTTCGCTCTTGATGTCTGTTTCTAATCTGAGAGAAGAGACACGCAGCTGATTCCTTCCTCCCTAGGCCTGTCCTCATCAGCTCGAGATTGCCAAAAAGCCTACTATTGCTGATTTGGGAAACAATCCTGAAGTTACAAATTGCGGCTTCATCAGCTAGAGACTTGACCTCGAAACTTGAAACTCAAGCTCGAGAAATTGGGGGACATTTTGCAAACCAGCCCAATATCTTAGGATGATTATCTCGACCAAATATCCCGCTAATTGCAACTTCGGGCTGATGAAGACGCAAATTAACTGGATAATTTGTGATCGAGATACAAAATAGCATGATATTTGGCAATCTAGAGCTGATGAAAACAGACCTGCTTTTCTCCTGCCCAAAGCATGGTTATTGCTTTTACCCTCCAGGCTACAATGGATGCAATGACTTTGCTTGGATTCTACATAGGGGCATTGACACGAGAAAAAACTAGTAGAGGTGTCGTGGTCGAGTGGCTACGTCAACGGACTGTCGATCTTAATGTTCTTTCGCAAGACATTGATCTACATTTGCCACACTCAACCCGGGTTATGTAAATGGGTACCTGGCAGGAATTAATTCCTTGAAATGCTAGAGGGCCGCAGTGGCTGCCTTGCTTAAGCCATGGTAATAATCGGAGCAGTGCCAGGAGCGTCACAATGTGACAGACATGGGCGCTATATAAGAAGCCACCATTATTATACAAAATTTATGTAAATAAACATCATATGAAGAATCATTGTACTGCAAAGGAATGTCCTTGCTATTTTGTCTCATGAATGCTTACTAATGGTAACATGTATGCAGTACTTTTTGTAAACCCGAAGAGGTTCCTATTCCTACACTTTCATCTGACCAAGTATGAAGATAACAAGGTTTCTATATTTGTTTTCAAATGGTAATGACTGGAACACAAAATGACCATATTTCAGGCTTACCAAGTATTGTTTATGAAGCTTTTTTCTTTAATTGCTCTGGATGAACCATGATTTTCACCGCACTGACAGTTCATAGCATTCTTTTATTAAAGCTTTCTGAAGCTAAATCTCTTACGACTCCTGTGTATTTTTTTTCAATAATGGACTTGCAGACACTACCTATAATAACGCCCCACTTTCTTAAAAGCTGGGCAGTTCTTGAAGGGCTCTAATAAGGCTCTCACAGATGCATGTGTGTATGTAAAGGTGGTTAAGAGGGGACACACATCCATAGAAACGAATGTCTGTCTAGCAGAGGTACATGTATGCAGATAGGTAAAGTCGTGCCCCAGGTAAAAAATAAATAATGCATGGTAAAGGTGTGCACAAGATAACATGAATGTCTAGGAAAATGACATTACCGGTATAACTTAATTTTTGGAGCAGTCACTACCTGTAAGAATGCCGTCCCATCCCCCTCTCTCTGTATGTCTGTCTATCTGTCTGTCTGTCTGTCTCTCTCTCTCTCTCTCTCTCTTCTCCCTTTCTCCGTTGGTCAAACTTTCTCTCTCTTCTTCTTCCTTTCTGTCTGTCTGTCTGTCTCTCCATCTGTCCGTCTCTTTCTGTCCGTCTCTCTCTGTCTGTCTCTCTCTGTCTGTCTTTTGCTCTCTCTCTCTGTCTCTCTCTCTCTCTGTCTCTCTCTTGCTCTCTTCTCTCTTTTTAATTTCTATGCCTGTCTCTCTCTCTGTCTCTCTCTCTGTCTCTCACTCTCTCTAAATTAGAATTAGGGCCGTTCAGGAGGAGTTTAATAAGTTTCAAAGATGCATGTACATGTATGCGAGGTGGTCGAGAGGAGACACAAGGCTGTCTGTCTGTCTGTCCATCTGTCTGGCAGAGAATGAAGGACAGGTAAAGGTGTATCCGAGGTTTACAAACAAAATTAAGTCATGGCAAGTCTTTTTCCTTTAAGAAGGCCTCCCGAGTATTCAGTTGTAGAGTCTACCTAAAAGGAATTCATCAAGTTGAATGCCAACCTTTACAGCCAACATTTGCAAAGACAGTGAAAGATTGTGAAGAATGTAAACACCTTGCCAGAGATGGAGATATTATGTATGACTGTTATTTTATGAAATTGTATGAAATGTACTCTATTAAAATAGAATGTGTTGAAATGCTTTCTGTTGTTAAACTCAATAAATAAAGTATCTGGCAACAGACATTATTAATGCAACAGAATGATTACTTTGCACAATTGGAGAGTTTCATCATGAAACTAACTTTTAGTCTGTTTGGAGCCAAAGATCATTTACTCATACATTCTAACAGAGTGGCCTAAACGCTGAACAAAAAAATTATGCGGTCGAAAGTCTGTCTGGTCTTTAAGGGGAATCTTCACCCTCTCTATATCTTCTGACTTGATCCACTATCCAATATTGTATACATATTGTATGAGTGCATGACCTAGAGTCTATACATGTATCACTTGTAATCTATAACATTATTATTGAATGTCAAGATGGGAGAAACATGTTCCTTGTGTCACATGAATAATTAATCTCAGAGAAAAAAATACACAGGGGCTTGGGGCAAATTAGCCCCGAAATGCCCTAAATTCCCCCGAAAGTCTTGAAAGAGCCCCAAATTTTGCATAGAGTTCAATGCAAAACAAATTAAAGAGTGTTATTTTCATGGAAGCAAGCTTGAAAAGTAGCCCCCAAATTGTTTAAGTAATTTTTTCTATGATTAATCTGTTTATAATAAAGTTAGTTCATCTATTAAAGCCACTATGCAGTAATGCAAATTACAGGCAAAAGGAGGGCAATGATTCTGTAACCAAATTATCTTTATATTTGTTTTTTAAATATGTATTTTTAACAGGGCAGTGTCTTTATACATGTACTTTCCAAGAGAAATGTATAAAAGCAAATCATTCATAGAGACTTTGTCTACAAGGTTAGAAAATTAAATATTAGATATAAATATACTTGAGTATTAAGATTGCAACTGAAAACCAATGTTAGCTGAATATATTATCTCAACCCTAAACTGAGTGCATTAATTACTAACATTTCTGACTTGGAGAGAGCCTATCATGAAGAGTATCTTGCTCTGAGTTTGTTTCTGGTTCCATGTCAGTAAGTACTACATGTATTATTGAATATTCTCTAGAATACTCTAAAAAAATGAAGGTAAAAGAGACTAAATTGTGAGCAAACTTCTAAACATAGGTTTTACAATGTTATCCCTTCTTTTCAGTTTATGTACAGTACCGTAATTAACGGTGTATTAACCGCACCTTTTTGCCGCCGAAAAAAAAGTCGGGGGTGCGGTTTATACACGGTACACCAACAAAAAAAAAGTTTTTATTTATGCGCCTCCACCTGGCGCTATGCCTTGCAGTGTCTCCCAGCCCAGTAATCGGTGTGTTGACTCACCACTCGGAAACTATAGAACAACACTCAAATTTGTCTGTCATCTTGGTTTGAAAGTAATCTTTCTGATAGATTTCAATATGTACCGGGTAGTTGATCATAATAATTCCTCCAATTTTTCTTCTATTACACGGCGTACCACAAGGTTCAATCCTACGTCTTAAGTCGGCAAAAAAAAAGTCGACCCAAAAAAAGTTTTTTTTTTTTTTTTTTTTTTTTTAAGGGCGAAAATGAGGGGTGCAGTTAATAATAGAGGGCGGTTTATACAAGGTTAATTACGGTACTTTAAATATTAACCATTCACCTATAAAATTACATAAAAATAACCTTTTTTGTGTGTGTTTGTGTATGTGGAGGTGGGGTGATTTTCTGTTGGGGGGGGGGGGTGATTTCTGTGCAAAAATTATTTTCTTTAGGTGATTACTCCATTTTAAGACTGATGGTTGATGGTTTGTTTCACTTGATTTGAATTAACATTTTATGCCTTTTAGAATAACTTTTACAATATATTTACATAGATACTAATGGCTTTCCATAATTTTTGTAATTTCCATAATCAGTGTTTGTAACTTTACCAAGACTTGGCCAAATTTCTTATCATTTTGATGATTCCAGAACCTTGCAATACACACAAATACTTATATGCTAGATGATCAACCTTTTCTGGTCGATTTCACACGTTTCTTTCACAATGCAATCGCATGACCAGAACTCTACTTCATCTTTAAGATCTTTGTGAAACATCCCCCTGGTCTGTGAACTTACTTGTGATATCATAGACTACAACTGCCACAGTGGAATCCCTAATGTAGCTTGGAATGAGACTGCGGAACCTCTCCTGACCTGCTGTATCCCATAGCTGTAGTCTGACAGTACGATCCTCAAGGTACATGGTCTTGGACAGAAAATCTATACCTATGGTAGCCTGTAGGGGCAAACAAAAAAAGGAATATGCTTACTTAGCAAATTAGTATACCATGTACATGTATAGTCAATGGTTGTTGTAGTACACATTGAAAAGAGCAAACCTACATTGTGTACTAGCTGAAACAGACTTGGAGAGAACATATAATCTCTGATCAAAGTAAGCAGATACTCTGAAACACAATAAGCTGTAGATAATACATGTCAAAATAATGTTATTATTCTACATTCATTTGCTAAAGGTCAGTGTATGATGATATCAAGATATTTAGTGAAACAGCAGCAATGGAAATACTGTAAACGCTGTTATTTCTGCGCGATTCATTTTTTGCACTGAGCAATCCTTAAACGTATTCGCTGGTTATTAAATTTGGGTAAAATCTGCAAAAATAGCGCAAAATCCATGAAAATTAGTGTAATATTTCTGCGTTTACAGCAATTTCCACATGCCCTGAACCTAGTAAATGTACAAAGAAATACTAGTAGAAATTTACTTGCTTATAATAACAAACCAATTGAAAAAAATAAACTGGGCTCGGGGCGAATTAGCCCCCGAAATGCCAAAAAGAGCCCCCGTAAGTCATAAAAGAGCCCAAAAATTTGTATAGAGTTCAATGCAAAACGAATTAAAGAGTGTTATTTTCATGAAAGCAAGCTTGAAAAGTAGCCCCCGAAACAGTTAAAGTATTTTTTTCCCTGATCATCTTCAGTATAACTCTGTATATTGATTGCTTTAGAATGACCAAGGTTTGCATGACATTGCAACAACTAAATTTATTCAACCCAACTTCATTGTATATTGAAAAATACAATAATTCATTGATGACAATATTTGGAGAGGAAGCATCCATATTGACTACTTTTAGTGAACTCAACTACCTTAGTCAGTAAGAATGTGTCTCACAGTCAATAAATATCTGTCCATATTAAAGTGTACACACATATACCTTCTGTTTGCATGTACATGTACCAGTAAATATGCATCCTCTTCAAATACACATTGACAGAGTCGGCTAAGAGGTGCTGGGTGGTCTGTATAAAGTGTTAAAACTTTCCTTCCTTCTTTATAGCTTTGTCAAATTTCTGTTTCCTCTTTTCTCTCTCGCTTTTGACTCACATATTGTTAAAACCTCTGGAGGATATACATGTACAATTGTACATGTATCATTGTATCTTCTCTCCTTTTAAAGGTTGATTCAAACATTACAACCATTTCCTGTCCCCCCCCCCCCCTCCACCCCTCTTTTTTTCTTTAATTGGGAAGTATTCTGAAAACTATACATGTCATGTTTATACATGTAATAGCATGTTAATTGTCATAAAACAGACTTTATTGTTTGCAGGATAGACACTTACAAGTATACACTATGAATATGACTGACAAAGAAAGCGGACAAAATATACAGTTCCTCAGGTAAACAAAGGAACATCCCTTCACTGCTATAATGTAAAAAGGTGAATATGCATGTGACACCTGTTCTACACATTTTTACATAATAGAAGTGAAGGGATGTTCCTTTGTCTACCTGAGGAACTGTATATTTTGTCCGCTTTCTTTGTCAGTCATGTTCATAGTGATACTGGCTTGCAGTGTTTCCCTTAGCTACACGTGTACATGTACACTGCCAGCTGTGCACTGAACGTAACCCAATGATTTGTATTAACTTGATTTGTAACTTGTAAGTAACATATCTTGACTACTAACAAATAAAAGAGCTTTTGGAATACCACCCATGTACTAAACAATATATTCTTGGAACACGTTTTAAGACCAGAATATTCAATTTTATGTCTGAATATAATTTCCCATTCTCACCTGGTATGTGTTGTCAAAACTGTCGTACATAAATCTTGTGATTAGTGAAGTCTTTCCAACTGCAAGAAAAACAAAAAGACAAGAAAATAATTAAAACATGTATTGTTCTTGAGTGGGTGAAATTAATACACATGTTTGATCACATTTTCATTAAGATGGTTTGTCAGAAGATGAAATCATATCTGGGGGGTGTTTCATAAAGCTAGAGTGCCAGATTGGATGCTCAAAAATTTTCCTGATGTTTTAACAAAGTGTGACTATTACAATAACTTCAATTAAATTATGGCAAAAAATATACTTTGCACTAAAAATGTTTCTTATAGTAATGTCTTATACAGACTCAATAGATTAAGATGTACATGTACGGTGTGTACATGTAAATGCTGAGAAAAACCATCATCATCAATAAATCAACCAACCAACCATAAACATCCTCACCATAATAACCATCATCAAGAGCTTCTATTTAAAATCATATATACGACTCAATAGATTACCGATAAGTATATGTCTGTCCCTTATCCATTATGTATTTTTCAAATAATCATGTTGTACATGTGTACATAATAATGTACATGTACATTGCATTGTGCCACTTTTTTCTTCAAATTTATTGTTTCATATTATATTATTCAAATTACTATACAGTAAGTACTTCATGGTAGTGGATACCAGGCCTTAAATTAATCGACGGCCATCGACGGCCAGGCCGTCGATGCCCCTATGACTGGCCGCGGTGCCCTCCCAAAAAAAGATAAATTCACGGCCAAAAAGGCCGTGCCCTTTTTTTCAAACTGGCCGACGTGCCTTTTTTTCCAACTGGACGTGCCCTTTTTTTTAAATTTGCGCACATAAAACCACCAATTGCGCCCATAATCATCTAAAACTAGACGGCAAGGCGCAAATGTTTTCCGTGAAAATGCGCCCATAAATTATTAGAACAGTAAAAATACACGAATCACGAACAGTCTGCCGCCCACGAGCTCTCTTCTAGCTTCGTATATAGTGCTTTAATAAGGCGCAAGTGCCGTGAAAATGCGCCCTTTGTTATTATATAGGCAATGCCCTAGCTAGCGCGCCGATCGCATGATATGCATAATGGTGCATGCTGTTGACGCACGCACGTACGTACGTACAAATCGAAGGCCAGGATCAAGAAAACAAATCGTCAAATGGAGAAATAAACAAGCATTCAAATAGTCATTAGAGATCTGTCGAGGTTTGTTTGTAGGTCTAGTTTATTATTTTATCTCAAATAGAATTTAGAATTATCTTATTAATAAGTTAAGAACACCTACGATGTTCTCGATCGTAGTTACTCTCATTTTGCCACCAGCCGACCTCGCTTCAAAAAGCTACCCCGCCAGCTTCCCATGACGAACGTTTCGAGTCCCGGTAAAATTACGCGCTGCGAATCTCCGAATGTGCATTGGTTTCGCTGGCAAACTTCCAGCCCGACAGCTTCCCACCAAAAGTGGCGAGAGTGTGTGTGCGAGGAACGATTTTGGTTTCGTGAATGCACGTTACGCAACTGAGCTGAGCGTGTCACTTTCAGCTGTCGAATGTCTATAAGGACATTTTTACATCTTATTTCATTAGTTAGGCCTATCTAGACCTTTGTATACAACAGTTAAAAAGATAATTTCTTCAAATTTGCTCCTACTACCGAGAGAGTGGCGGAAGGTTTGTGTGTGAGGTGCGATTTTGAGTTGGGATACCCGGCCCGGTAAACTTGCCAAGTCCTTCTGACTTTCGATGTTTGTGAAATTGACAATTTATTTATTCATTTGTTCATCAATATTTTTAGTTACTTTAAAATACTGTTTAATGTGCAAGTTTTAAGTTCTTAATCAATCTTTCCTGTTCATATTGTTAAGATTAAAAAGTTATTAAATTGATCGTTCGATCTATTCACATTATGAAATTAACATTTGTAGACTCTCTTTGAACTTATGATTAGATAAGGGGCCTATCTGTTTTTGGAAAATTGCCCCTTGCTCTGGTAAATTCCCGTGGCAAAGGGCAACTTAAAAAAAAAAATTGCCCCTTGCTCCTGGCTGCTAATTAAATCTAAGGCTTGCGGGCCGCCGCCTTGTTGGTATGTACCGTAGACATCTATACATTCTGTGAAGAAGCTGGTGCTAAAAGTCATGGGAAATTGATCCCGCACAAGTTTCATAAAATACACATGACATCTAACAAAAATAGAATCAATTTTTTTGGCCTCATACTCGATGCCCTTTTTGTAAAATATTTTGGCCTCGATGCCCTTTTTGTAAAAATATTTTGGCCTTGGTGCCCTTAAAAATATGAGGTACTCAAGGCCAAACTGGCCTTGCCCTAAAAATGACGAAATTTAAGGCCTGGGATACAATCTATGTATTCAAAGGAAATCAATGACCCGTCTACAGTATATTTCCATTTCTTTGAATTGAATGCATCCCTTTTGAATGTCACTCTCGTAAAAGTGAATCATTCCACTGACTACATGCACACTATACAGGTACTGAATGTTTCCAATGTCTCACTATTTGTCATCACATGAATGCTAAAATATTCACTGGCCATGCTCTATGGTACTCAAAATGTAATGGTGACAGCAAAGTGACTTTTAAAGATGTCATGGCATATCTGCAAAGAAGTAGGAAGTATAGTGGAAATAAAAAAATAAACTCTTGTAAAGTGTATATTGACTAAAACCCATACAAGTACATGTAGATAGATAAAGTGGAAAGTGTTACATCAGTATTATGAAAATGCACAGTGAATCTGAATATTGTCATTTTTGGTATGGAAAAGCTTCATGATTTTTTTTTCTAAAATTTTATTATTTGTAGTTTGGTCAAGACTTAATTACACATTACAGTTTGGGAATCCACATTTTCTGGCACACGTACATGTACATGTAGTATGATTATCAAGCCCTGCTCCGAGTACACAACCATGCACTGTCAAAATCAATATTCACCTTTTTCTTGCTTTTATTTTGATGTACTGTGCACTGTATACCCTTAGGACTAAAAGCTTAAATTATCAACACCTCAACTTCTTTTCATCACAGAACAATATTTTTATCATGTAGATACCATGCTGCAATGCTGCAAAAGAACAGAATACAAGGAAAGGAGTTTTTGTTGTACAGCAACCAAGACCTACACTGTACACATGTACATGTATCTTGCACACACTCTACTTAAATCACCACATTCAATTTTACCTTTAACACCTGCATATATATATATGTAGGCCAAAATGCAGTTATTCTATAAAATCAACAAAATGTATGATGTACATTGTACATGAACAAGATGACTTTTGTCTCACAGATTTTAAGACATATTTTCTCCATAGCATGCTACATATACAATACTACGAATCTAGAGGTTGAAAAATGCAAGGAAGCACTTTTTGTGTGATGTTGTATTTTCACAGTCTAAAGCAATCTTGCCCACCCTCTCCATACCCCCTACATTAAATCAGCATGAAGTATGATGATGCGATGGAATCCTTGGATACCGATGATCTCCCTCCAACCAGCAGAGATGAGTCATTCTTGCATTTTAGTGAGAATTATTGAACTCTGGTTTCTTCTTTCAACACATGTCAATGGCAATAATGTGATTACGCTAAGACACCCTCAGTGATGATTCTCACTACCTCACTCTCTTTCTCTCTCTCTCTCTCTCTCTCTCTGCATCTCTCCCTCCCTTTGCTCTCCCTCACTTTCCTCTCCCTGTCTGTCTGTCTGTCTGTCTGTATCTCTCTCTTTCTCTCTCCTCTGTCTATGTGACACTTTTTCATCCATCATTTCTCTCTCTGTGTCTCTCTTTCTCTCTCTGTCTCTCTTTCTCTCTCCTCTGTCTATCTGACATTTTTTCATCCATTGTTTCTCTTTTCCTCTCTATTTTTCTCCCTCTTTATCTCTTTTTCTCTCCGCTATAGATCTATCTGACACTTTTTTCATCTATTGTTTCTCTCTTTTCCTCCATATTTATCTCTCTCTCTCTCTCTCTGACTCTCCCACAATATTAAACCCAATCCGTACAAGACACTCTAAAATACATGTAGTGTTGTACGATAACCCTACATCTTTATAATATTCTAAATTCTTATCATGCAAGTTCTCAGTACTACACCTTGCAGTAAATATCTACATAAAAATGGGGGATGACGAAAACATCACTTACATGTAGCAAAATGGGAATTTCGAGCATCGCTTAAAACTGCCTAATTCCTGAAATAACTGTGCTAGTTTATTCATGTTTGTATAATTATTCATGTTTGTACGGAATGTACAAAATTCTGCAGTTCAGCCATCTGGTTGCAAATGATTTTTCAATAAAAACCTTACCATTACCATTTACCACCATTACCATTTGGTACGATCCAATTTTCATCTAATATAATCCTCTGTATACATGTACATGTCGTCGCTGTTTTCACGAAGTGACGGTAGTGAAAAAAAATTGCATTCACTTTGCGTTACGATTTTCCTCACTACCGTCACTTCGTGAAAATAGGGACAATGTACAGGTGTACATGTACATGTACAGTTTTGTAGGCCTACAGTGTACATGTCCGTATTTTGTACCAAAGCCAAACATATAGACCTAAAACTTAAGATTAAACAAAATAATTGGAATTCAATTTCAGGTTTTAATTCTAAAAATAAACAATTGTCAATAGGCTAAGACAAAAACATAAATCTAGAAACAATGTTGACACTTTCAAGAATTCATATCAGATTGAATTTCTGAAGCAATTTTAAATAAATCTCTTAATACTTTTTTACACTCATTGCAAACTACTAGATTTTAATAATTCCAAAATTGATTATGTTTGTTAAGACATTCAAATTGGGATTCCCATACATGCATTTCTCATTATAAGGATAGGTTTTCAATCAAACAATATACATGTAAGTATGTATTAAACAACTATAGTAAAGAGGCAAAAATCAATATAATGTCAAATGCCGAAGTCTTGATAAGAAATCTGGATTAGGCTGTATCGATCTCTAATTCTCGGACCTGCAATTAGACCAAAAAGCACCTTTACATCCAAGTAAAAAATTTATATTTTTGTCATAAATAAGAAATTTCTGGACATCTAATTTTGACAGCAGAATTCCTTGTATATTCAGATTGCATTCGTGCTCTCAGTAAAAATAAATACATCACAGCATCACAGTAGGTCTTGTTTTTATAACACAAAAATTGTTTGTGTAAAAAAAAAATGTTCTTTGTGTGTGCATTAACATGCCTGTGAAGCTGAAATGCATACTGCTGTAAGCTTGTTATTTCAAATAGCGCCTACGGCCATACAATGGTACATGTACATGTACATGTAGCTGCGACCATGAAAATCTCAGAATATGTAGTTGTAATATATAATTTCTAAACAGGAATAGCTTATCGGTCGATTTTAGTCAAGAAACATTGTTTTATAGCTAAATTAATATCTTGACCTTGAGAGGGAGCTATACAACATAGAGAGTGTATTATTTACAATTTTGTAACTTTAGACTCCATTTCAACCGCGACAACGATCACTTACTACTGAATATTGTAGGATCGCATATGCTTCCAATATGTTCATTTGAACCAAATTCATGACCCAATACCAAAACTTTGTATTACCTTTAAGTTCAATGGCAATGTCAACACGTAATATCACGTCGCATCAAGGAGATTTTGACATGTCATGCTTTAAACAGGTGACGCACTTCACACATAACTGACGCACACATGAAATTGCACACACAAAATAGAAAATCAACAAATATTTCAGAATAAATGTCCTGTTTGTACCTTAAATATGACGAAAATAAGAATTGTTAAAACTTAAAAGCTGGTTCGTAAGACTTAAACTTAAGTGAAATACTTAACCTTTTAAAGATGCTGACACAATCAAAACAAATAGGAACTACATGTATAGGGTTCACTGAAAAACATGTATAATAATTTTGGTATCGGATCAGACGGAAAATCGCAAGCTTTCTCCTCGCACCAATATCTAATAACATTGAGTGAATGGAAGCACGCGATAGCCAATGGGAAGGGCCCTTGTGGGCGCCAATTTAGTAAAATGAGACCGCAATTCGCTGAGATCGGATGAACGTTATGCGCATATGCTAAATAAATGTAAACTAAGCTAAAGTTCTACGTAGTACGGCGTATCTGCAGAGCTACCAAGTATTATGCGTGACGGTCACGCATCGAGGCTCCGAAAATGCTCTCACGCATGATGCGCGTGCTCGGTTTTGAAACGTACGCTATACCCTCGCCCGCATGCGAAGGAGTCATGAAAATGTCACGCATAGCTGATCTTTGAACTTGGCATCTCTGAAAATGATAAATCTCATAGTAAAACAAGGCCAGGATTCAATTGCCCTAGAGTCTACATGTATAATATAGTCTATGACAGATTAGGCCCAGTCTAATTGGAAACAATATTATATATTTTACATACAATTTGCAATGATAATTTTGAAAGACTAAACTCAGCAATCCCTAACAACCAACCCAGACACAGGCACAATCTCATCACATCTCATTCATTCATTCACACTGCACTGAGCTGCTGAACTGCAACATCATTGGAAACTACACACAGAAAGGGGGCCGGGCGTCGCCTGTCCGATACCGGTAAACTTACCACTCTGCTCGCCGAGGAAAACAAGCTTAAATTTCCTTAAAGGATTGCTGAAATCTCCAGAGGAAGACATCCTAATTGTATATGGGAGTCCGAACAAGAGAGTCTCTCAGAATTTTATGAAATCAAGCAAAAATGTAATACTTGATGACCCTTTCTCTTCGCTGTACTTCAACCGTGTATATCGCCACGTTAGAGATTCTGATGTGTAGCGCGCATGCGCACTTCATTTGGATGCGTCATTTCTTGCAGGAGAATGGTCATCCCAGCTGATTTATCATCATTCTATTTTTTCAATCCCCGAGTTCTCCCCGTCACTATTTACAACCGTTATCTGTTTTCTCCGGTTTTCTACACACAATCACACAAATAATGATAATAATAATAATAATAACAAAACTACTTTTAAAAAAGAAAATAATCAAACAAAGGAAATTCTTATAAAATAATGTAGAGAGAGGGAAAGAGAATAAAAATCTAAACGTTTTGATTGATTGATTGATTGATTTATTATATATTTTACATACATTTTGACAGGAAACACATATCACAGAAGGGAAGAGAGAAGGAGTTGGACAAAAGAAGGAAGCAAGCAAGAGAGAAAGAAATAAAGAAAGAAAAAGAAAGAGAAAAGAGAAAAAAAGAAAAAAGCGTGATGGTGTTGGTGGTGCATGGTGATGATGATGGTGGTGATGACCGCATTGACCGGTGATGATGGTGATTGATGAAGCATCACGACGGTATAATGGTGATGATGGCAGGGGTGTCGCCAAGGGGTGTGGGTTGCGACACCCACCCCCATTGTCGGTAAAATTGCGCTGCTGTCGGGGAAAATGAGAAAAGGGAGAGGGGGATATAGAGAAGGAAAAGCTGAAAGGAAAGAGAAAAGAAGAAAGAAAGAGAAAAAAGAAAAAAGAGGAAAGAAACGGGGGATGAAATAGAGGAGAGAGAAAGAGAGGGGGGGTAAGAGGCTAAGAGCCTGAGAGAAGAGGGGTGGGAGTAAGAGAGAGGGAGAGAGAGAGAGAGAGGGGGGGATGTTGGGTGGAGTCGCCACGTCGAGGGAGCAAAAAAAAGATACGCATATATGTTGTGTCGGGTCCGCTGTGTCGGTATTCTTGCTCGATCCTCGTGTACTATAATATTTTTTATCAATGTAGAAGTTTGAAGTCGGTGAGCCTTGTATTATGTCGGTCGGCCGGAAATTTTCTTTCTCCCTACGAATTATGACTTTTTATCGGACAAAGAAACATTTTTGAAAATTCGGACAGTGATTAAGAGTCGGTACAACGAATCGTCTTCTTTCTATAATAATTCAATGAAACGTCAAAGCTTCCGCGCTTCGTGCGAGAGAGGGAAACTTCATTTAGACAAGGATTAAGAGTCGAGAACGGTACAACGAGTCGTCTTCTTTGAAGTTCTTTCTCTATTATTAGTTAATAAAAAGTGTCAAAGCTTCCGCGATTCGCGCGGGAGGGGTGAAATCGAATTCAGACAAGGATTAAGAGTAATAATGTAATGAAACGTCAAAGCTTCCGTGCTTCGTGCGGGAGGGGGAAACTTAATTCAGACAAGGATTAAGAGTGGAGAAAGCTTCAACGAATTGTCTTCTTTCTCTATAATAATTTAATGAAACGTGAACGGGAGGGGAAAAACTGAATTCAGACAGGATTACTGAGTCGAAAAGTATAACGAATCGTCTTCTTTATGATAATTTGATGAAACGTCAAAGCTTCCGCGCTTCGCGCAGGAGGGGGGGGGGGTGAATTCAGACTAGGATTAAGAGTCTAGAACGGTACAACGAATCGTCTTCTTTCTCTAATGATTTAATGAATTGTCAAAGCTAACGCGCGGGAGGGGAAATCGAATTCAGACATGGATGAAGAGCAATAATGTAATGAAATCTCAAAGCTTGGGAGGGGAAAAACTGAATTCAGACAAGGATTAAGAGTAGAGAAAGCTTCAACGAATCAATTTAATGAAATGTCAAAGCTTCCGCGCTTCGCGTGGGAAGAGCAAAATCGAATTCAGACATGGATTAAGAGCAATAATGTAATGCAACCTCAAAGCGTGGGAGGGGGAACTGAATTCAGACAAGGATTAAGAATAGAGAAAGCTTCAACGAATCGTTTCAATGAATGTCGAAGCTTCCGCGCTTTGCGTGGGAGGGGGAAAACTGAAAAATAATTTAGCTCCTGGCTACGGGTTTATAGGGTTAAATTTGTAGACATTAGGACATTGGCATTAATACATTTATCAGTAATTGGTGGCTAGTTAATCGGTGGCCTCTACACCCCCCCCCCCCCACCCCCACTGAAAAAGGTCTAGCGACGCCACAGGACGATGGTGATGGTGATCTTGATGATGGTGGTGATAATGGTGATGGTGATGATGGTAGTGGTGGCCTAGCAAAAAAAGACTGACTTCTATATTATTATATAGTGACACATGAAAAGGTAAAGCGGTGTTCCCCTTAAACATATTTGTCACAGCTGCCCCAGTTTCCAAGCTCGGATTGCCCTCAAAGTTTTGGTTTCCTCCCCAAGTTAATCGGCTCCCCTCTACACTTTTTGACATTTCAAAACAATCTAATTTCAAAATTGAGCTCTATTTTGTAAAGATTTTAATTGTGTCAAGTCACATGTAGGCCTACTCGTAATAGGTTTTATGCATGTAAGCTATATTTAATCAATTCGTCAATATGTTCTAGATCGGTCCATTAGACTCGATGAATAAGATGACAAACACTTTTAATCTAAGAAACGAAAATAATTTTAGTTTGCACGATGTGCAATATTTCGTATTTTAAGTCTTGACTTATGACAAATACTTAAAAAACGCTGAAAAACATTGATAAAATGCAAATATAGATGTCGGAAGAACAGTCCCTTTTGTTGCCAACAGAGATTTAGAGTTTATGAATTCGGACGGTATCGGTCCTCCTTTCCCCCAGTTTATCCGCTTATTATTTTGATAAAATGACACTGGATACCAGCATTTTTTTTGTAATGAGAAGTATTTTGGGGTAAAAAAGTATAATGGTAATATGGCAAGACGCAACCAAGAATCAGAGCAGCTCGCGACTGTTTAATAGAATAGCGTCATCTCGCGTTCCATCCAAGAAGCAGTCTGAAAATTGGATTTTATACCATTTTGTGAGACTATACTTTTTTGGAATTTACACCTGCAAGAATAACACTTTCGAAACAGATAGCTTCACATGAGACATTGCTAAAGGGTTATTTGGCAACCCCTAGTTAACGCCAAGGAAGAATACATTCGTGTTGAATATAATTATTTTGGTGCATAATCCCGAGCATAATCAGAGATTTCTTGGAAGAACATAGTTACGTTCATAATGTAGCACCATCCCAGCCCCTATATCCAGACCGATAGCTGAATATACCGACCCCCTCCCCCCCCCCCCCCCCTCCCCCACCCCCTCCCCACAGACACACACACCATGGACCTACTACGAACCATGCACACCCATCCCGGCCAAGGGCAGGGGCCAAATCAAGTTACAGAAGTGAAGTATGTATAGCCCTCAAGGAGTAAAAACACTGCATTGAGACCTCGTACGCTATAGGCCTGCTCTCCATGTAGTAACGCGAAAGTGCGATACGAAGGCTCAAGTTTTTCAGGAAGTTTTTATAATGGTGGCGTACGTTTGTTAATTCATTTGGAGATATACTTTCTTTGCATTGCTGGATTGTGTCCTGTTTTAAGTAACAACGATGATGTGCATGAATGGTTTTGCTTTCTAAACAGCTCCTTTATGACTTTCTCGATCTCAAAAGGATAATCCGATTTCCAGATGAAGAGAGCTTATACAGTGACGCTCCTTTCTTTCACTGCACACGGAGATATACACACACAATGAAGTAGGACTGTAATCTGTATGCCTTACAGGCCAATATGTGGTATTTACATAGAATAATAGTCTGATACACTATCGTGTAGTGCTTTTGAAGATCAGTGTTCATGATGTTGTTTCGCGAAAATCTTGATATTTTGTATTTGATGGAACCTCTCTCGTTCGTCTAAGGTAAGATTGTCTATCCAGACTATAACATGACTTATTATGTATCGTTGTGACTGTGTGTCAATATTGTATATTACCGTGCTGACTGTGTCCGATCAAGACATCCTGGTATAAACTCCTTGGGCTAGTGTCATTGTAATATATTGCTCTTCGCTAAGATTGATAAACATACAAGACATTTTCTTTTGCTGGTTTGTTGTTGTTGCTGGTATAATTAGCTCCTTGGTCTGAGGAACATAATGTCATTGTAATATGTTGCTCTTCGCTAAGATTGATAAACATACAAGGTACAAGATATATATATATTTTTTTTTTTACTATGTATCGTAGTGTCAATTTTGTATATACATTATGCCTGTATAAAGTGTAGCCTGTATAAGGCAAGAGCGAGATGAAGATGAAGAAATGAGGAGGAGGAAAGAGAAGGGGGAAGAGCGAGGGGAGGAGGAGGAGGAATTGTGAAAACAGATGAGTGAAAGAGCAACAATTGATGAAAATGTGAAGAAGCCAATGATTATGAAGGGAAAGGAAAAGAAGGCCGAGGAGGAGAGGAATGAGGAGAAGAAGAAGACGTATAGGGGAGGAGGAAGAGGTGGGGTAAGCCTTGAGGAAGTAAAACGGGTGAATTACAAAAATATAAAAAAAAGACAAACGAACCCACGTATTATGATGGTGAAGAAGAAGGAGGAGTGAAGAAGAAGATTAATTATACAAATAAATTCAGAAGGACAGAGAAACAAGGAGGTAAGGAAGCCATTGGAAAAGTTAAAATTAGATAAATGAAGGAAAGGAATTGGGAGAGATGAGGAAGAAATATATATATATATATATATATATATATATATATATTATAGACCAAGGAAGATGTTAGAAAAAGAATATCTCAATAAATGACAAGAAACAGGGTTAGGCAGAACTTCTTTGGACTCAAAGAAAGATATAGGAGAGGAATTGGAGGAGAAGGATATATACATCTAAGAAGAAAATACTTTGAGACCAAATCAACTGATGTTTTATATATAGGAGCTTGCCATTATTAATAACAAGTTGATGATGATACATTTAATATTATTCATATATATTTCATATAATTATGAGAATGTCAGTTTATTGGGTTGTGTCAATATTCCAGATGAAGAGAGAGAGAGAGGAGGAGGAAAAAGGACACAATGTATGGAGAATAAACGAAACATAAAAGAGGGATTTGCCTTGGTTTGCTGTAAGCAAACACTATAATTAGACAATGTTTTAAATTGACATTTGATTTGATTATTTCATTTCGATACATGATATTTGGCAATAATACACAATGTTTTCACTAAGCCTTACATGAGTTTAACTATTTATCCTTCCATTTCCATTTATTAATTTATTATTCATTCCTTCTTTATTTTTGTATCATTATACTGCCTCCATAACCCTTACATACATTTGTATACAATACGTGCTGCACTCACAATCCATATGATTGTTATTATAGACAACCTCGAAGGCAAAGGAAATAGTTTTGTATTACTAATGTAAGGGAAACAAGATGTGAAAAAGTGATTCACGACAGACTGTACAAAATAGAATAAGGAAGTAACAATAATAGAGGTCCGTAATATATCAATGATTTAAAATGATAATGCTAATTTCTTCTTTTATGCGCAAAATTGTCACATCGTAAGTCGTAACGTTCACGCGCTTGCAAAGTTGGGATATTATTGCATTCTTGCCTATAATACCAAGGAGTTAGTGTAGTAACTCCTTGATAATACCAACCTCATTACTATTATAATGATACTAATTATACAATAATGATAATATTACTATGTATTAATGAAACTACTTCCCGACTACAATAACAAATTGAGGTCGCTGCTAATAAAATATATTATTTAGTTCCTCGTTTGATATAGTTGTAACATTATGATGTTATGATTGTTGCTGACAAATTGCCAATGTGAATATGCTAGTACACGATGGGACGTATATAGTTTGTTCCTTCGGCCTCGCATGGTAGGAAATGTCAATTTCCACTCCGAGGAGTGTGTGACGAAAGGTATAGCTTCTGGAATTCATCAGTGAGGGAATGTGCTCCATGTGAACCTGCTTGACCCATGGCTAGTCTGTCTTTCAGGATGATGTTTTTTCACGGATTTCATTTTCCAGCAACCCCCCCCCCCCCCCCCCCCCTCCTCTTTTTAGAGCCTGGCTATACCGATGTCATTTCGTATGTATTATATTCCATGTTGAAACCCATACAAAGATAATATCAAAGGAAATTTGATTTGATTTGATTTGATTTATTGGTTTCTGCATCTTTTTTTTCTTTTCATCATACATTTTCATGAACATAATATGGTTTGATACAATATTTTAAGTGTATATAATTTTATACAAATAAAAAAATGAAATTAAACAAATATATTGAATGCATAATTAACATACATTACATGCAGGAGGGCTACAGAAATAAGCAGAGTAGCTTGACGTGCCCGCAGCCCCCAACTTAGATACAACAATAACAAAATATAACTAGAAATGCAATCGTGTCACAACGATGTGCGTGCAATGACGCCGTGTTTCTACGTGTCAAACGAAAGAGCTTCTCTCGGACTATCCAGAGCAGTTTGCACGAAGTCTGTAGCTTCTGTGATATTGGAGAAAGGTAGGGCGAAGTGTGTTGAAAAGGAGGGATGATGTATATGCGTTCCCTAATTAACACAGAGCGGTGGGGGTGGGGTTGGGGGCGGTAGCATCTCTCGGCCCATCCAGAGCAATGTGTGCTTGCAATCGTGTTAGAATGATGTGGATGCATTGACGAAAGTTTTTCCTTGTGGCAGACATTAAAAAGTATCTTTTGGATTTTCTTGAGGAATTTGTTAGAAGTCCGTTGGATGTGGGATAGTGGAAATCTGAGGTCGAAAGATAGGCTTTATAAATGGCAGAAAATGGTTTAAAATAGCGCTTGGGGGGTCAACATGAGCGATCTTTTATGAGCTAGGATTTAGTGACATTGTTGCGAATTGGAAAGTAAAATAAGCGAAATTGAGATACAGGAAGCCTAGGTCGAAAAAACATTTATAATATACGTCAAATGATTTTGTGATGGGGTAATTGCAAGAGTCTAAATTTATGTGGTTTAGTTGGTTGGTAGATGCTTACAATATTGATTATATATTATCAGTTGTTTGGTTGCTGGTCGGTACTGGTAATTAACTGGTTATTTAACTGTTCCTAGTTAGTGTCGGTTTTAATATGAAAATTGGTAAACTGGAACCAACTGGTACCAGTTGTCATTTGACGTTCCAATTAATTATAATCATTTTGTTAGCAGTTGATTGTAGTACTGGTACTGGTACCAGTTGATTAGTTGTTAGTTGATTTGAATATCGATTTTGGAATATCTACATGCAGCAATCGTTTTGTTATAAAGCTTAAATTTAGTTTGGTCTTTGAGGCTCTGATCATTCGTGTATCTTTTTTTGATAAAAGGTCAGTTTGTTTCGCGTAAAACCTGCTGTTGTAGATAAAATAAGAGTATTTTGTTTGAAAAATATGTTTAAAAACAAAATATGGAAAGATATATTGGGAGAATGTATAATGTGAAATTAACATATGGTTGATTTAAAAGCGGGAATGGTCTTAGCAGATAAAATGATTATAAAAACCAATCACCAGTTATAATACTTTTTTTCACACTTGTTTTGCTTAACTTTGTACTTTACGTAGCCCCATACCTTCTTTAACCCCGAACTAACTTTTTTGGTTTTTGTCACTGCAATTTGTTAGCCTCGTACCAGCCTTAAGGTGAATATTTGTTATTTCTTTCCACTGCGTATAGTCCTGGACTATTTTTCGTCTGTGTTGTGATATTCTGTTGACACCGCAATTGCTTAGTGAGCAGGAGTTAGGATCATAATTGTGGGGTTAGCGTTGGTCTTTTGCAGGGCCAGCGAACCTTGTATTATAGGTGGGTTAGCGCACGTTGGTAAATACGTGTTTGAATAGAATGTGGAATAGGGTTAACGCCGGACGGGTTTTTTTCTCTGTGGCACAGATTGTGGATTTTCTTTAAAAGTGGTGATTTAACTTTAACCCTAACCCTAACCCTAACTCTAATCCTAACCCTATCCTTTCACATAGGTTGATCACGTACCTTACCCTAATCTGTGCTTCCAGAAAATATAACGGAGCTCGGACTATAGACTTTGTTTAAACCCACTTATACTACAAGTTTAAGGAATTGTTCGCTATTGTTAAAAGCGGAAAGTGGAATAAGCTTAAACCCGGACTATAGGTAGGGGTCAAACTCCCCCTTTAAGCAACATTTGTTAGTGTAGATAGAGAGTGGAATAAGCTTAACCGCAGACTATAGGTGGGGCCAAGATACCCCTTAACATCACCTATAGTATACGGGGTTACGTAAGATATTGTCAGTGTGAAAACAGTTTTGTGTGTGTTGAAAGAACCAGCACTGAATCGTCCAATATAATGTTATTTTCATATTTGTTGGGATGTAGGATTGAATCAAAGAGATTACTATACCAATTCTTGGAAGCGAGGGTGAGTCATTGGTGATTAGCAGGTACAGGGACTTTGAAGCCGTTATGCTGACACTTGCTGACAAATTAATAGGGGTGGCTGTCCCTGGGATATGTCAGAGGGCAATGCCCTCCGAAATTGGGTTTGCAAAGTAAAACATGAATTTGGTAAATGAAGGAAGATGAAATGAGAAAATATTACAGAAGCTTGATTTAAAGAGTAACAAAGGAGAGGTTAAAATAGAAGGTGATAGAACGATGAAAAAGTTATTACTATTACTATAGTAATGAACAAAACGATTTAAATACAAGTTGCCAGCAGGTTTAGAAATTAAGATTATTGATATTGGTAGTGTTGATGTCTATTCCGGATGGGGGTGGGGGTGGGGGGAAGAGGTGGTTGGGTTGTTGTTGATATAAATATGAAGTTTAATGTCACCGTGTTATTAAAAAAAAATAATGTAATGAGTTAGTATTGACGATGTTGAATAATGGTTTGTGTGTTCTTTATAATGAGGATCATAGTGATGTTGTTGTGCGTGAAAAAGTATAGGGTTATTGATTGGCCCGTTGATGGTTACATTTTTGGTTGAGCATGTAAACATGTTGCGCGCTAGTGCTGTGCATGTTTTTGCGATTGCATTAATAATAACATTCATTTGTCCGATGTGTTTGAAGCTATGCCCATCTAGTGAAGGTATCCTGAGTTAGGTCATACGTTTTTGTAATCAGATTTATATTCGTATTAGTTGTCGAGGAGGTCATTAGATAACGTAAGTATGTATGTCATGATTTTTTTGATAAGTATGATGAAATTGGGTATGTGTTGGGCATTTGATGTAAGAAAGGTGTGATGTGCGAGATTATCTAGAGCATGCCCTGGGTTTCTTTATCTGCAGGAACTCTGACGCAGATGGGCGATGCGACGCCTTTGGCAACGGCGTCGGAGGTTCCTGGTGTTTTAGGGTTACCGTTGTTATGGTTATGACATGCACAAGCGAATGCATATCGCTTAGAATGAAATGCGGCCTTTCATGTGCACATATCATACGTTATGCTTGATTAATTAAGTTGGGTTAAAGATGATGTTGATCATGGGCGTAGATGTGTAATTGATATCACTGTTTTGGGGGGGGGGTGTGATTTATTTATTCATTATTATTCCCATGAACAATAGGTATTACATAAGGATTGACGCCCATGATGATGATGGTAGTGATATTGATGATGATGTTGATATATTGATTATGGTAATGTCGATAAAGATGTGATGATATGTTTATGGAAATGTTGATGTTGATGAAGATCATGACCTGTGTGTACAGACTACAGAGGACTATGGTGTACCTGGCAGATTGTTATATGGGTGTTTTGTTTTTGTGTGTGATTCACGTATGGTGCGTGTGCGAGATTTGTGGGCGATTCCATACTTGTAAGTGCTCTACACAGAAAGATATATGGGATTACATGAATAATTGGCGTAAACATCTGCTTGATTTTAGTGCTGTTACATTATATTTTGAATTTGAAGGCATTTGAAGAGTCTTGTTTGAGGAAACATTTTTTATATGTTTTTTTGTCTACACTTGTATTATAATAATGTTGATAACATCACAAATATTTGTTAATTTGTTCCCAGATCTTAACCTTTTTTTTAAAGACATGAATATTTGGGAGGCTTTTAAAAAAAAAATTAAATTGTTTTGGGGAAAGGGATCACAATAATGTTATTGTTTACTAGTTTAAAATGTCATAAACTTGTGTTAGTGAGGTGGTATGAGGTCTTTAACAATTTGTTTTTGTTGTAAAATATTTATCTTTCTGATGTTTTTTTTAGGATGGTTCTGCTGAAGTTAATGGTAGTGGAAGAGTTCGAAGAGAGGAGGAAAAGAGATTACTCGTTCCTGAGGGGTAGCGTGTATGAGCGAGGGAGCCAAAAATGCGTGGAGATGTTTTGCGCATTGTCTTTGAGCAAGGAGGCGGAAACTTTGATGAAGCTGAAGGCTAACACATTCTTCCTGGTTCAGGATGTCTTAGAGACCAAGAGCACCGAGAAGCAGTTACGGGTAACTGCAAAAAGCAAGGTATTTGTAGGAGTGGTTTATTTTGATTTACATATTGACTGGACATTTTAGATGTTAAATGTTTTTTTTGGAAGAGGTTTGCATTGTTTGAATTAATTTTAGGATATATATTTAAAAAGGAGTTAGATTAACTGAAATATGTAAAATGTACATGTATGTAAGGTACATGAATTTTTTTTGTATTTGATATGAAATTATTTTGTATCAAGTATATTTACCTTATGTTATTTTGTGAATGTTTTTTGTTTATATGTCAGTTTATTGTTGGGAAAATATATAGTATTTATCGTTTTGTTGAAGTGTTTGAAAATATTGGGCATTTATATGAAGTGTGAGACACAAGAGATCCATAGTTGATTCTTTAAAAATAAATCTTAGCTGAGTTGTATACATTTAAAACGTTTGAGTGTGAAAGATGTAAGATGTCTAAAAAGTGGTCAAAGTAAAAACAGTTGAATTTATATTTGCAAGGAAAATTGCAGTTAAGCGATGGTTTTGTTGTGAACATTGATTGTTAAGTTATTTGTAGGATTTGAAAAACATTTTTAAGAAGTTTGTTATTTTACGAGTTTTAGCTAGTGTTGCAGCTCTCTTGCATTTCAGTTTTTTGTGCTTTTTCGTATAGGTTGGATTCTGAATTTGGTTGTTTTGCTATATGGAAAAAAAACCTAAGGGCATTTTTTTTGAGCTGGAAATATTATTTAATTTTTTAATTAAATGCAGATCTTTGAAAGGGGTGCGAGCTTCGAAGTAATGGAGGAGGTGGTCAAAGGTTATGTCTCTCCAGATGTCATATCAATCAGTGAGGCCAAGAAGTCTCCGAATAAGAGAAGAGTCTCGATATGTGGAGTTGTAACGTGGGTGAGTATTATCAATTATTTTGGTATTTGTAGTTTTTGTTTGTGTTTTGTGATGCATATCTTTTTGTGTTTAGTTATGTTTAGATGTGTGACCAAAAACTGAATTGTTTGCTTTGTTGGGGGGGGGGGGTTGGGGTGGGGTTACTTATCTATTTAGGTCAGCCATTGGCATATTTTTATTTTTTTTGTATTTTTTTATATACAATTTTAAATAATTTTGTTTTGGTCAGAGGGGACATTTTTTTTCAGTACATTTTGGGCGAATTTAGGGCTAGGTTTAACATATTTTGGGGGGTTTAGGGGGAGGGTGGCATGTGTCCCCTGTGTCTTTTGTTGTGATGCGCCACTGTTTTATGGACTTGAAAATAGATTTGGGGTTATAGGATGTAAGATGAAGTGAAACATGGTCACTGAATTGTGGAACATTGACTGTGTTTGCATTAATTTTAGAACCATTTGTCAGACCATTTTGTATTTTGGTTCATGTTTGTTTAGTGGATTTATGATTTTGTTATGTGTTTACAACTGAAAGGTCATAGAGGCTATTATGTACATGAAATTGGTCTCTGTTGAAACTTTTTGGGAACATCATGTATTTGGCAGTTATTTATTGTAGTAACTATAGTGTTTCAGTTAATTTTGTTAAAGTTTTGAATTATTTGAATCATTTTCCCAATATAAGTGATATAATTCAACATGATTTGTAGTATTTGTGTGTTTTTGCAAAGGCGGAGGCATAAATTTGACTGTGCACAGTTGGGATTTGATGTTGGTATAGGTTTTTTTTTAAAACTGTGGTTGATTTTATTGCACATTAGGAAAACATCTCATTTGAATTTAGCTCACCAACTTTAACAAAATTAACTGAAACACTATAGTTACTACAATAAATAACTTAAATATCTACAAAAAAACATTGCCCCCCAAAAAAGTTGCCATTTTTAGGTTCAAAGACACCTGCCAAATACATGATGTTCACCATTTGAATTTAGTTCACCACTTTTCTTGGTGCTACCATAATCTGATAAGGACACTGATCACTGATAAAGGGGTTACCAATAGGGTCCATGGGGAGGCAGACAGTGGTCAATCACAGTCTAGTTACTGATAAAGGGATTACCAGCTGGTATCTTATACTCAGTCCAGATTCATAGTCTTTTATTTGCAGATCCTACACCTATACTTATTCAGTGTGTCTAAAGTCTCACTTGTTATTGCTTTTAGCAAGAAGAGGAGATAGATATAAAAAATAAAGAATAACATAAAGAAAGTTATAACAAAATGATGAAAGGAGGTTTAAAGAGAAGGTTGAGTTCTGGGAAGAGGTGAAAATAATTTGTGAGCGTTACTCATTCTTATTATGCAAGTGTGGAAGAACACCAGATAAGACATGCAATTGCATGACAAGAACTCAACTTCATCTTTAAAACAAAAAATAAAATAAGGAAAGATTGGAAACGGAAGAAAATAGAAGGGTTAAAACAAAGAATAACTTATGGAAAGATAGAAATGATAGGTAAACAAAAAAATGATAATGCGGAAAAATAATATAAAGGAAGGAAGAAATAAAGGATAACATACGGAAAGATGGGTGATAATAAGTAATTATTTTTAAACAAAAATGGAAATGGAAGATTTTTAACTAAAAATATAAGAAAAGACAGAGAAAATAAAGAACAGCATAAGGAAATACAGAAATGGAAGAAAAGAAAAGAAGAAAGTACAGAACATAGTAAAGCTAAATGGAAAAAACGGAAGAAGAATGAAGTAGAAAACAATTAAGAAGATACAAGAAGGAGCCACTAAAGAATAATGTAGTGGAAAGATGGAAACGGCAGATAAAAGAATTTGGAGGTGGAATAACGCCTTTATCAAAGGCTGTATTTGTTGACATTACCAGAGTTTGAAATGGGGAATTTCAATTTCGGTCAGCAGAGAGCCCTTTCACCGCACTTGCTTGTCTGGTATTACAGACCACTTTGTTACCCGATATCTTTGTGTATATAAACCAGGCTTTAATTGGGATGGTCTTGGAGATTCCGAATTAGCAAGCTGGAGAATCTGGATGAATGCTATCCTTGTACTGTGAGGTTCATGAGTTATTAATTGTGAAAAATACGACTATAGTATTGATGTTGATAGTTGTCAAATTTACTGCGGGATAGTTATTAAACAAATATTAGATTTAAATAGTTGAACACTGGATCGGATATTATTTCGAGGTTCAGATATTTTGCTCGTACGTCACGATTTTGAATTAATAAGATACCACGAAACGAGGACATGATAATCACATGCACAGGCGTTGGTTATGCTTATGCATAAAAAATGTGCTTATTAATACATCATTCTAAAAATTATCAAGTCTAATATTTATGCGCTATGAATCATGAACAGGTAACCCAGAGCAGTCAAGCGTATATTATATCCTATACTATTTGTATAATGCATTATTATTTACATTTACTTATCACATTTACTTATGTTGATGCATTTCAAACTAGACAATTATGATGAAAGGAACATAAAGGAAAAGTAAGGGAGATGAAACTGACAACTCCCAGGTATAAGAATGGACATAATCCGAAGCTACATCAGACTGTGAATAAGACTAGAATTTCATGGAGAGAGATGAAAGCAGAACTTATCAAGGTTGGGCTGGGAATGTTTTGGTTAAGTTTGTTTACACTGCAGTTTAGGGACTTTTTGTCTCTCTAGCTGTGTGGTGAGTTTCTCCCCAAACTGCTCCCCACTTTCGGGTCCAAAGTGGGATGAAGTTTAGATATACTCCAGTTCTGGTAAAACAAAAACAAACAAAAAATCTCACAGAATTAAACGAAACTTACACTGAATGTTGAAGATTACAAATAAATGACATGTGCCAAACATTTTTGGAAGAAAATGTATACTGGCCGAGTATTGAGCATAGAAAGACATGGAAATCAAGGTAGTACTAACCCCGACACCGTGTGGTCCCATATATAGCTATCTGTGTACAGCGTTTGTTACTTTACCAAGACTCGGTCAAATTTATTATGATTTTGATGACTCCAGAACCTTGCAGTGCACACCAATACTTACATGCTACATGATCAACTGTTTATGATCCATTCCACATCTTTTCTTTCAGATTGCAATCGCGTTACCAGTCCTAAAGTTTAGCTTTATGGACTGTTTTTGTCATGATTATATTTGAATATCTTGCAATGGATTTAAAGGCGTTTTTTATTGGTGGTTGTTACTATATGGACTGGTTTTTTGCCGTATAATTATTTTGCAATGAAAAAAGTTTTTTTTTAGGGATAGTTTTTTAAACACAGGTTGTCTCTAAAAAAGTGTGCATGTTAGTTTGATATGTATATATCTTTTGTTTATAGATTTTTTTTTTCTTGATGTGTAGGCCAGCGAATGTCGTGGGGAAAAGAGGAAGGTGCGGGAGCTACGCATGATGGAAGATGGCGAAGAAGTAAAAGTGAGTATATATTGTAATATTTATGAAGCAAAAAAAGGAGTTGTATTGGGAAGATTAAAAGTTTAAAAAGGGGTTGTGGCTGCCTTCATAAATCTTTATATGAAGGAGTTTCGTCTAACAATAAATCCAACTGTTGTTATTCACAAGGCACACCGATGAAAAGTAACACTGGAAACAATTTGCTAAAGTCCAACCAACTTCTGTTTTATTCAGCAACTCGTAACTTCACTTTCATATCTTCGGTAAAACCTTCAGATAACAATCTGTAATGATAATAAACAAACAAACAAATAATGAATAAATGTTTCAGCATGTAAGCATATAAAACCCTATAGCTAAATTAAAGATACTGATTACAACACATTAATATATGACACAAGATTAAAGTTAAACTGGATTAAATATCTATGTGAACACACCCTGCATTGAAACTATGCAGTAAACTATTAAACAGTACACGCAAGCAAACGTATATGAGTGTGAACAGGGCCGCATTCAGACACGGTTCGTCACTTAAGTTCCTGTGCTAAATAACTAACAAAGAAAATTGTTTCTTTCCTAAACACTTAGTTTTGCTCTAAATTCGACATGCACTATATATATAATAAACAAGTTATCATCTACATAGTAGCAGAATCTTTGCTACTTTGAAACACTTAAATGTACTGTAACTTCTGCTGACAAAGACAAAGAACTCGGCTTTCTACACTATACATTATACACACTCATCTCTTTGTCTACTCCTAAAAGCTAGGTACAACATCTAACATCATCTTTACGAAACTCCTATAAAATTCTACCAAACTCAACTGAGATTATATTAAGATACATCCTAGCATTCTAGTATATATCAAATAACATATATAGAAATAGATATCGTATTCTTACCGAATTGGGCCTGTAGTTTGTTCCACAAAATAACTAAAAACTTTCTGCTGCAATGTTATGTAACTCGGACCTTACTGCATCACTTCGACATTCAGAATGACTGGGGTTTGCTTCTCCCAGAACATAGGTGGAGAAGAACAAAGAACTTCCTGTCTCTGTGACTAGTAGTATAATCTTAAAGTAAACAATAGCCCCCAAGATATGCTGGTAGGCATATTAAGACACTGGTAGTCTCATAATAAGACTCTTCAAACTATATAAGAAATGCACATTTCTTCACTACATCCTGATGTAGTGACATGGCTCCTTTAAATGTTAGTAACATTTACTAAAATAACTGTTAATATCCAAATCTAAGACTACGCCAAAACATTGATAGACGTACTACATTACTACCAAGGAACAACATTAAGCTCTAACGATCTTTCATGTAACATTCATGAACATTATCTACTGTACAATGCATAAGATAAATTAACTTAACCCATCAATGCTCTAACTACTGCTTGATTGGTAATCAATCCCAATTAGTGTAATACACAAAGTTAAACTTAGATGTATATCAAGTATACTTAATCAACCCCTTCCGTTGATAACCACATGAATACATAATCATATGTATTGTAAATTAGTAAAAACATTAAATGAAGACACTCCTGACATCAGGAACATATTATACAACAATAAGATAAAGGCTCCTTGAGGGGGAATCCCTACTGTCTTCTGCGTGATAATGACAAAACTAGTTTGCAAATATAAGATAAGACAAGAAATGTAAGAGTCATGAAACTCAGATAAAGGTAGAAATCTAGAAAAAGGGATAGAGTGAGAAAGTGATTTGGAAAGAAAGAGAAATAGAAAGAAAAAGACTGCTCACAATTACTTTTACACCTCTGTTATTAACAACAGAACAATTATTCTAAGCTTCTACCGTCAGTAGTAACACAAGTTTGTGGACGGGTCTATCAAGGTAACAAGGTTTCTTCAGACGTTTACCATTACTGTCCAGAGCTCCATCAGTCATGAGGAGCTTTACCTTTCTAACGCGTCCGTCTTGACTAGGAAAACTTCTGCTACCCTTGCTAGAGGCCACTGGACGTCTGCAGTCTCCTTCACGATGACTACATCGCTGATGGCCAGGTCTCGCTGCATTCGCGTCCACTTCTGACAGGGCTGTAACTGCTCGAGGTACTCTCGGTGCATGATTCTGGATGACGTCATCCATGAATGCTCTGTAGTCTCCACCAAACTTTGGGTTCTTCCGCAACCTCCCAGGCAGCTGCTTCCATCTCTTCAAGGGAAGTGGCTTGTTGAAGGAAAGGTTTGGCTTTGCAGACTTCGGAGGTAATGGCATCTCATAGTGGCCTTTGTCACATCTGCGGGCACCACTCTCCAAGATCTCCTTGAATTCCATCTCCTCCACGGAGTACAGCTCACCATCTGCACTTGAGTCCTTGTAGCCATCTTTCGGAAACTGGATGCCTTTCTCAGTGTCCATGATCTCCTTGGCCTTACTCTCATAGGCAAACTCTGGCTGCATCTCAATTGCAGATATCCTATTGCAGATTTGAACACCATCCTCCTGCACCGACGTCTGGCAGACATTGCCAACTACTCCCCATCCAAGTGCTGTCTTAATGGCATACGGGTCATCTTCTCCTCCTGCTATCACCTCTAGAGGGCGGATGGCTCGGGGACAGTTATTTCCAATTAAGAGCGATACCTTGACGCTCCTGTTGTATGGCATCAACTCATGAGCAACTGGCTCAAGATGAGGCCACTCCTTCAAGCCTTCACTCCTTGGGATCTGGGTTCTGCTAGCTGGAATAGACTCTCTAGAGAAGCACGGGGGTAGGTCAATCTCGTTCTCCCTGTTGAAGTCCAACACCTGTAAACCGCTCGCCTTCATGCTCCTGACATTGGCCGTTGTGTGCATAGTGGTGAGTTTCAGGGTAGTATCAGTTCCCTGCACTCCTAACTGCTCACACAGTTCGTCCGAAACGAAGCCTACATTACGTTGATCATCCTTGCACCTCACCCAGTCTGGCACAATCATACAGTGCTCCTGTTCATCTTGGTCTTGAGGAGCGCAGACATTGGTGTACTTTGATGCGGCTTCCTCGGGTGGATTTATCTGGTTTTCGGTTGGCTTATGCAGACAGGCAAGGGGACGCCCTTCACAAATCTTGCAAACCTTCCTCTCAGTGCGGTCCTTGGCTCCATGACCATCAGCAACGCCGCTAAATACAGGTATCTCCAACTTTTGAGGTTGACTCGCAACAGCAAGTCTCTGCGTTAGCACGTTTTGTTGCACATGGGCCATGGACTCTGCCATCGTTTCAAAACCTGTCTGGTTAGAAGTTCTATCAAGAATAGGTGTTGTTGCGCCAACTGCCAATCTATGGATGGAATCCCCTGGCTGTTCCTTTGGCAATTTGACATGTTCGATGACAGCTTCAGAGCTGTCACTCTCTTCCTCTCTTTCTAATCTATTTCTTTTGTCAGCCGACTTCTTTCTCAGCAGACTCAGCTTCAGCTGTATTAGCTTTCGTTTCTCATTCCGGACTCTCCTAGCATGCTCTTGCTCAGCCTTTAGAGCATCAAGCCTGTCCTGCTGTTGTATCTTTCGTTCCTCCATCTGAACTTTTACAGCATCCAGTCTGTCCTGCTGTTCCATGACAGCTAGTTCTAACCTCGCACTCTCACGAAACATCCGTGAGCTCGCTACACGTGTAGCCTTCATGATGACTGCATCATGTTGTCTTGCTTCCACATCGCTCTTGGTGAACTTAACACCAGCCAGACTTCTAGCCTTCGATGTGGGATTCCTCTCTGTCGTCGTTTCACGTCGCAATACAGGCTCTGATAAAGGCATGACTTCAGGCCTTTATAAACCTAGGTCTGCTTACAAGTTCATTAAACGGCTGCAAAAAGTCTTATAATTGATGTTCGTTTGTCATTCGAACTTCATTCGTTATTGTGGAACTTCGCTTGTTATTCGACTTCGAATAACAAACTTCGATTGTTATTGTGGCTGCCTTCATAAATCTTTATATGAAGGAGTTTCGTCTAACAATAAATCCAACTGTTGTTATTCACAAGGCACACCGATGAAAAGTAACACTGGAAACAATTTGCTAAAGTCCAACCAACTTCTGTTTTATTCAGCAACTCGTAACTTCACTTTCATATCTTCGGTAAAACCTTCAGATAACAATCTGTAATGATAATAAACAAACAAACAAATAATGAATAAATGTTTCAGCATGTAAGCATATAAAACCCTATAGCTAAATTAAAGATACTGATTACAACACATTAATATATGACACAAGATTAAAGTTAAACTGGATTAAATATCTATGTGAACACACCCTGCATTGAAACTATGCAGTAAACTATTAAACAGTACACGCAAGCAAACGTATATGAGTGTGAACAGGGCCGCATTCAGACACGGTTCGTCACTTAAGTTCCTGTGCTAAATAACTAACAAAGAAAATTGTTTCTTTCCTAAACACTTAGTTTTGCTCTAAATTCGACATGCACTATATATATAATAAACAAGTTATCATCTACATAGTAGCAGAATCTTTGCTACTTTGAAACACTTAAATGTACTGTAACTTCTGCTGACAAAGACAAAGAACTCGGCTTTCTACACTATACATTATACACACTCATCTCTTTGTCTACTCCTAAAAGCTAGGTACAACATCTAACATCATCTTTACGAAACTCCTATAAAATTCTACCAAACTCAACTGAGATTATATTAAGATACATCCTAGCATTCTAGTATATATCAAATAACATATATAGAAATAGATATCGTATTCTTACCGAATTGGGCCTGTAGTTTGTTCCACAAAATAACTAAAAACTTTCTGCTGCAATGTTATGTAACTCGGACCTTACTGCATCACTTCGACATTCAGAATGACTGGGGTTTGCTTCTCCCAGAACATAGGTGGAGAAGAACAAAGAACTTCCTGTCTCTGTGACTAGTAGTATAATCTTAAAGTAAACAATAGCCCCCAAGATATGCTGGTAGGCATATTAAGACACTGGTAGCCTCATAATAAGACTCTTCAAACTATATAAGAAATGCACATTTCTTCACTACATCCTGATGTAGTGACATGGCTCCTTTAAATGTTAGTAACATTTACTAAAATAACTGTTAATATCCAAATCTAAGACTACGCCAAAACATTGATAGACGTACTACATTACTACCAAGGAACAACATTAAGCTCTAACGATCTTTCATGTAACATTCATGAACATTATCTACTGTACAATGCATAAGATAAATTAACTTAACCCATCAATGCTCTAACTACTGCTTGATTGGTAATCAATCCCAATTAGTGTAATACACAAAGTTAAACTTAGATGTATATCAAGTATACTTAATCAACCCCTTCCGTTGATAACCACATGAATACATAATCATATGTATTGTAAATTAGTAAAAACATTAAATGAAGACACTCCTGACATCAGGAACATATTATACAACAATAAGATAAAGGCTCCTTGAGGGGGAATCCCTACTGTCTTCTGCGTGATAATGACAAAACTAGTTTGCAAATATAAGATAAGACAAGAAATGTAAGAGTCATGAAACTCAGATAAAGGTAGAAATCTAGAAAAAGGGATAGAGTGAGAAAGTGATTTGGAAAGAAAGAGAAATAGAAAGAAAAAGACTGCTCACAATTACTTTTACACCTCTGTTATTAACAACAGAACAATTATTCTAAGCTTCTACCGTCAGTAGTAACACAAGTTTGTGGACGGGTCTATCAAGGTAACAAGGTTTCTTCAGACGTTTACCATTACTGTCCAGAGCTCCATCAGTCATGAGGAGCTTTACCTTTCTAACGCGTCCGTCTTGACTAGGAAAACTTCTGCTACCCTTGCTAGAGGCCACTGGACGTCTGCAGTCTCCTTCACGATGACTACATCGCTGATGGCCAGGTCTCGCTGCATTCGCGTCCACTTCTGACAGGGCTGTAACTGCTCGAGGTACTCTCGGTGCATGATTCTGGATGACGTCATCCATGAATGCTCTGTAGTCTCCACCAAACTTTGGGTTCTTCCGCAACCTCCCAGGCAGCTGCTTCCATCTCTTCAAGGGAAGTGGCTTGTTGAAGGAAAGGTTTGGCTTTGCAGACTTCGGAGGTAATGGCATCTCATAGTGGCCTTTGTCACATCTGCGGGCACCACTCTCCAAGATCTCCTTGAATTCCATCTCCTCCACGGAGTACAGCTCACCATCTGCACTTGAGTCCTTGTAGCCATCTTTCGGAAACTGGATGCCTTTCTCAGTGTCCATGATCTCCTTGGCCTTACTCTCATAGGCAAACTCTGGCTGCATCTCAATTGCAGATATCCTATTGCAGATTTGAACACCATCCTCCTGCACCGACGTCTGGCAGACATTGCCAACTACTCCCCATCCAAGTGCTGTCTTAATGGCATACGGGTCATCTTCTCCTCCTGCTATCACCTCTAGAGGGCGGATGGCTCGGGGACAGTTATTTCCAATTAAGAGCGATACCTTGACGCTCCTGTTGTATGGCATCAACTCATGAGCAACTGGCTCAAGATGAGGCCACTCCTTCAAGCCTTCACTCCTTGGGATCTGGGTTCTGCTAGCTGGAATAGACTCTCTAGAGAAGCACGGGGGTAGGTCAATCTCGTTCTCCCTGTTGAAGTCCAACACCTGTAAACCGCTCGCCTTCATGCTCCTGACATTGGCCGTTGTGTGCATAGTGGTGAGTTTCAGGGTAGTATCAGTTCCCTGCACTCCTAACTGCTCACACAGTTCGTCCGAAACGAAGCCTACATTACGTTGATCATCCTTGCACCTCACCCAGTCTGGCACAATCATACAGTGCTCCTGTTCATCTTGGTCTTGAGGAGCGCAGACATTGGTGTACTTTGATGCGGCTTCCTCGGGTGGATTTATCTGGTTTTCGGTTGGCTTATGCAGACAGGCAAGGGGACGCCCTTCACAAATCTTGCAAACCTTCCTCTCAGTGCGGTCCTTGGCTCCATGACCATCAGCAACGCCGCTAAATACAGGTATCTCCAACTTTTGAGGTTGACTCGCAACAGCAAGTCTCTGCGTTAGCACGTTTTGTTGCACATGGGCCATGGACTCTGCCATCGTTTCAAAACCTGTCTGGTTAGAAGTTCTATCAAGAATAGGTGTTGTTGCGCCAACTGCCAATCTATGGATGGAATCCCCTGGCTGTTCCTTTGGCAATTTGACATGTTCGATGACAGCTTCAGAGCTGTCACTCTCTTCCTCTCTTTCTAATCTATTTCTTTTGTCAGCCGACTTCTTTCTCAGCAGACTCAGCTTCAGCTGTATTAGCTTTCGTTTCTCATTCCGGACTCTCCTAGCATGCTCTTGCTCAGCCTTTAGAGCATCAAGCCTGTCCTGCTGTTGTATCTTTCGTTCCTCCATCTGAACTTTTACAGCATCCAGTCTGTCCTGCTGTTCCATGACAGCTAGTTCTAACCTCGCACTCTCACGAAACATCCGTGAGCTCGCTACACGTGTAGCCTTCATGATGACTGCATCATGTTGTCTTGCTTCCACATCGCTCTTGGTGAACTTAACACCAGCCAGACTTCTAGCCTTCGATGTGGGATTCCTCTCTGTCGTCGTTTCACGTCGCAATACAGGCTCTGATAAAGGCATGACTTCAGGCCTTTATAAACCTAGGTCTGCTTACAAGTTCATTAAACGGCTGCAAAAAGTCTTATAATTGATGTTCGTTTGTCATTCGAACTTCATTCGTTATTGTGGAACTTCGCTTGTTATTCGACTTCGAATAACAAACTTCGATTGTTATTGTGGCTGCCTTCATAAATCTTTATATGAAGGAGTTTCGTCTAACAATAAATCCAACTGTTGTTATTCACAAGGCACACCGATGAAAAGTAACACTGGAAACAATTTGCTAAAGTCCAACCAACTTCTGTTTTATTCAGCAACTCGTAACTTCACTTTCATATCTTCGGTAAAACCTTCAGATAACAATCTGTAATGATAATAAACAAACAAACAAATAATGAATAAATGTTTCAGCATGTAAGCATATAAAACCCTATAGCTAAATTAAAGATACTGATTACAACACATTAATATATGACACAAGATTAAAGTTAAACTGGATTAAATATCTATGTGAACACACCCTGCATTGAAACTATGCAGTAAACTATTAAACAGTACACGCAAGCAAACGTATATGAGTGTGAACAGGGCCGCATTCAGACACGGTTCGTCACTTAAGTTCCTGTGCTAAATAACTAACAAAGAAAATTGTTTCTTTCCTAAACACTTAGTTTTGCTCTAAATTCGACATGCACTATATATATAATAAACAAGTTATCATCTACATAGTAGCAGAATCTTTGCTACTTTGAAACACTTAAATGTACTGTAACTTCTGCTGACAAAGACAAAGAACTCGGCTTTCTACACTATACATTATACACACTCATCTCTTTGTCTACTCCTAAAAGCTAGGTACAACATCTAACATCATCTTTACGAAACTCCTATAAAATTCTACCAAACTCAACTGAGATTATATTAAGATACATCCTAGCATTCTAGTATATATCAAATAACATATATAGAAATAGATATCGTATTCTTACCGAATTGGGCCTGTAGTTTGTTCCACAAAATAACTAAAAACTTTCTGCTGCAATGTTATGTAACTCGGACCTTACTGCATCACTTCGACATTCAGAATGACTGGGGTTTGCTTCTCCCAGAACATAGGTGGAGAAGAACAAAGAACTTCCTGTCTCTGTGACTAGTAGTATAATCTTAAAGTAAACAATAGCCCCCAAGATATGCTGGTAGGCATATTAAGACACTGGTAGTCTCATAATAAGACTCTTCAAACTATATAAGAAATGCACATTTCTTCACTACATCCTGATGTAGTGACAGGGGTGGATTACTGAGATGTTATATATTGCAACCATTGTCAAGTTTTGGTCATCGATAGTTTGTTTCTTGATGCAACTGTATACCTTTGGTATTGCATATATACTTACAGGTTATTAGTGACTGATAGTTGACTTGTGCGACTCATTTTTTTGTTTATTATTTATTTACAATTAAGAGAAAAAGTGGGTAATTGCATTATGGAATATATATGTGCGTGTGAATTGTTTGGTATGTAATTGTTAATCCTATTGGGTGGGGGTGTGTGGTGTGGGAGTTATAGGTCCTCCCCTCCCCCTTGTGGTTTTTTAGTTGTGCATTTAGACTAATTACAATCATGTTTACAATTTTTTTTTTCTTGGTGCAAATTTTGATATATAATTTCCCCGTTTGGAAGAAAAATCCTGCAGACTTTGTACATATTTTCTGATTTCAGATATTCCCAATTTTTTTTCAATAATTTATCAAAAATTTGTATATTTAAAATGTGAATATATTGTTTTTATAAAAATAACATTTTTTTAAATTTTATTATTATATTCTTTTTTTACTCAACATCATTTTTGAGTGGGCCAATTTTGAAGGCAAATGGTCTGTTATTTGCCGAGATTCAAAGGGTTTTGATATGGTTGGGTGGAGAGGGGGGGGGGGGGGGTTGCAGAAGGTTTTCACCTTCCAATGGATTTAAAATCAAAAGTTGTTAATTTTTTTTGTTTGTTTTTGGTCAGGTCATGTTGTGGGGCAATACAGCTAATAAAGTAAGACGTAAAGATGAGGATCTTAAGTTGGTGGGAATGGAGGTGATGGTGGATGGGACGTCGGGAGTGAGCATACATTCCAGTCCAAGCACGAAGATAGAGGTAAGATTGTAGTGGGATATGTTATTTGGTGTTATGTTTACGTATATTTGGTCATTATTCCGGGAGGTTATTGTTTCTGTTAGATATGAATGAGTTTTGATTGTTTGTTTTATTAGGGTTTTATTTTGGAATTTGTATGTGTTAGTTAATCCAAGGGTTTTAATGTATCTTTTAATTGAATGAACAACATTGGGTTTAAAGTTTATTTGGTTTTGTGGAAAACTAAATATGACATTTATACCTGTTTAGATGTAATTTTGCAACATTTTATTATATATATTCAAAACTAAATGGGGAGTGAAATTTTGAATTTTGATTATAGTTATTATTGGATTGGTTTGTATTAGTATTAATGATTTGAACAAAGATTTATCAAAATGGAGTCAATATTTAGAATACTGAATTTATGTTTTGGACATGATAGTTGTAAGTCATTGTGTAAAACTAAATTTTGAACTTTTTTTGAACTTTTTTTTTTAGGGTGAAAGGATCTCTGAGGACTCGATAATTGCGTGCACTGATGATGGGTATGTATAGTGCATGGTTTAAATATTGTAAAATTTAAAGATTAGTTGAATTATTGACTTGAATGTGATTAAAATTGTGGAAGACTTACAATTGTTTTTATGATTGAAATGGATAGTTGAGTTTTAGTTTTCAGACTGCAAATGCCTTGAAAGTGTATGGTTATTATGTGTTTTGTTTTGAGACTGCAAATGCCTTCAAAGTGTTTGGTAATTGCTCTTATTCTTATCTATGACATTTTTTGTGCCCTTTTTGAACCTAAAATTGTTTTGAAATTAATTTTAGACTCTAAAATTTGTGAAATTTAGTTACTGTGCGCAAACTAACTGAGTTCCACTTTAAAAAACATGGTGATTGTTAATTAGTATTTATTTAGAAATAACAATACATGGGTTGGCTGGTTGTGGGTAATAAAAGCAACACAAAAATGCCAACAAAAAACCCACATTGGTATTGGCTGAAATACGTTGTAAAAGGCGTTATTTAGGTTTTTCAATTTTTTTTTTTTTTTCAAAATATTAAATATTTTTGGTACACAAGTATTAGAAATGGTTATAATAGCTGTCTCTGAAACGATTTTGGTCAACCAAAGATGAATTTTTTCATTTAAATTTTTTTTTTTTTCATTTGTCACTCAGTTTTGATTATCTAACAAAAAAGTTATTTTGTGTAGTATTTCTGCAACAGAACTCAACTATCCCTTTAAACAAATAGAAGTGAGCAGTTTTGTGAGGTAAGGTTAAGTGTATTCACTTTGCCTAGTGTAGGCATGAAATGTTTCTGGGAACATTTATGGGTATGGCAGTTGACTAAATAATGATGTTATGTTTGGTATCAAAGAGGGGTGGCAGAAATGGGAGGGAGGGGGAGGTTTGGTGGCTAACTTTGAAACAGTGGAAGTAAGCATTGCTGGTTTACTGTTGCAGGTTGGGTGTTTGCTGCTTGAAACAGTAGGGTATTTTGATATTTGGAAACCTTTGAAATATGCATTTTGTATTTTAATGTTTAATTTTTTAATTTTCGTTGTTTTGTTTTGAATAACAAATTGATACTTTTAGATGGATCATGGTAAATTTAAAGAGATGTGGTTAACCAATTTGAATTGTTGTTTGTTTTGAGTAAGAAACATTACTTATGTTTTGAACACAACATTTCAATTTTTGTCCGTTTTTTTTCAATATACTGTTTATATTCTTGTGATTTCAGGATTTGTTGTGAATAAGACTTTTTTTTTATGATTTCTTGGGCTAAGAAGGAGATATATGCAGTTTGATAGTCAATGGAAAAAATATCTTTTCACGTGTATATGTATTATGTACAAAATCTTTAGTCTTCCAAAATGTTCCATTTTTGAGGAAATTTGGCAATTTTGAGGATAAGAACAGAAAGTAATTTGTATGTCTACAATGTTTAAATTTTTAGCTGTTGTAATAGATTTTAATGGAAGTTGTTATATATTATCTTGTTTATTCTTTTTATAGTTTAAGTTCCCTTTAATTGTTGCAGATATTGAAGTAACTGAGTTTATTTTTCAAGGTTTTAGCTTCTAACTATTTCCCCTTTTGTTTAAGGGGTGGAAGGGTGGGGGGGGGTGGTGGATACATGATATAACGATTTATAGTTAATGAAAAAATACTTTTACAACTTATTTCGAGGTTATTTATTTGAGTATAAGTTGAAAATAGAAGAGTTTAAACTAATTGTTTTTGTTTTTCTTCTTGCTTTTTATTATTTGTATTTTTTTAGGTTTCCCATGGAGATTGTTTTCGAGAGTGGGGCGACTGCCCAAATACCCAATGATTTTGGCCTTTCTCTGGAGGTTCTGCCTGTGAAGGTTCAGATTGAGAGGGATGACAATGATGAAGTAGTGAAGATAGTGGAAGTACAGGAGTAGCATGTCTTGTGTTGTTGATTGACATGTTTTAATACTTTTTATGTTTTAAAGTTTTAAAGTAGTTTAGTGAAGTGTTAGTTTGGTGTAAATATACATGTTGAGGTTGTTGTAATTTTTTTTGTTCTTGTAATATTTTTGTTTTAATCACAGTTTAAGTGTTTGTATAGTTTTATAATCACAATGAAGCTAGAGTACTTTTAGACTTACAGGGTAGTTCATTGTGGATTGTATGTTAGATTCAATATGTTTAAACATTATTTTGTTTGGTTGGAGACACAGATTCTTACTTTTGTTATTTTTTATAACTCGTCAGAACCCCAAGGATTGACCAAAATGTTTAATTGGTTATGAATATTAGTGAAGGTTATAAGCGTTAAAAAAATTGTTTCAAAAGCGTATGTATTATTCATTGTATTATAAATTAACTGTTTGTTTTTATTATGTTGTTATCATGTTGTTATCATGTTAGTTGAAGTTGGAAATATATTATTATGTAAGAAACCTTATGTTGGAGGTGTTATGGAGGCTTGGCTTTGTTGGGATAGTTGTGTATCAGAATTTGGTAAAACCATGTGTAGTGTTGTAAGATAGGTTTAGGGCTGTTTGTGTATTTTTTAAGCATTAGCTTGCATATTTTTGTTTATAGTTACTGATTTTTGTAATGATACATTGTTTTATCATGAATTTGAAAGTTAAGTGGTAAATTAGTTGTTAAGTAATTGTGTTTTTTTATCTTTAGGAAAAGATGATTTGTTATTGTTGGTACTTTTATAGATATCGTTCCTAATTTTATGAAGTGATGGTAGTGAGGAAATTTTGCATGCAAATTGTATGCAATTTACAGTCAGTACCGTTTGTTTGTGAAAGTAGGGATGTCATCTATTTGATATAGCATTTTGTAGTGAACCATATATAATGGTTTTTATAATATCTTGGCAGCAAATTATTGAGAATTATAAATGTGTTCTTAAAATATTTGGTTTCCATATTGTTAAGTAGTTTTGTGAATAATTGTTTGTAATATGTTTTTAAAGTTAGTTTAAGTTTTGATCATTACAGGTAGATGGTTTAGGGATTTGTGAGAGTATGAGGTTATAGTTTAAATGATACAAAGTTTCAATTACAATTTTTTTTTAGGATGTGTGATATCTAAGTATTTGTTGACGGATGTCAGTGATTAAACAGAGTATTTACGTTTATTGTTAGTGAAAATTACAAGTTAATGGAAATTTGATATATATCTATTTTTTTGTCATGGTTTTGGAATTATTTTTCGAAAACTATGAAGGTTGTTGAAAATGAATATAAGGAAAGTTATGCAAATACCTATTATAGGTAAAAAAATTTTATCTTGAGTTTGTGGTGCATAGACCTACCACCACAGGTGGTGTTAGGTCTATGGTTGGTGTTAGCATATGTTTTTTTTTTTTTTTTTTATTATGTTCATGTAAGGTTTAGTAAAGTTCATGTTCATGCAGTAACTCATTATTTGTAAGAAAGAGTAAAGAAAGATGTACGGTATTAGTTGTTGGTTGGATTATATGTAATAAAGTAGATGTAAAGTTAGTTTTAATATATTAAATGATCATGTTATATTTATTGTACTATAACCAATAGTTGTTTTACTGCCTTGAAAAGTTTTTTTAATTGAAGCTGTTGACTGTGTTCAGGGTATTTATCCTTTTTTTTAATAAGATTAAAGATTTTTGAAATAACATATAAAATATGTGATACTCTTTTAATTTTTTGTTGGTATGGGTATGAGAAAGAGGTAGTGTATGTGTTGTATTGTGTTTGCTGAAAGGTTTATAACTAATATTTGTTTTTTAGGGGGATGTGTGTGTGTATGAGTATTTTTGAGATAGGTACAGTAAAGGGGAGTGGGGAGTGGAAGGTCGTGTAAAGATAAAGGCGTTGTAGAAGATGTGCATGTAGTAGGTGTGTTTGTATATTTTTTTACATTTTAATTTATTTTTATGTTTTGTGATGGATTGAGTATGGGAGCATGTGAAGAGAGAAAGAAAGATAAAAAGATTTTCCATCCATTCCATAGTTTCACCACGCAAACATTTGTTTTGGTCAGTATCAGAACTAAACAAAATCAGAAAGAAAAACGATAGAGGGAAAGTTGAAAGTATCATGATGAAAGACAAATGGGGAAAAAAATATCATACAAAGAATAACATCAGAAGAGAACGAAGGAAGAACAAAGACTAACATAAGAGGAGATGAAAGAGGGAAAAAATGAAGAGTAACATATGGAAAGACAGTAAGTGGAATATTTCATTGAAAGAAAGACAAAAATGTTGGGTTACCGGCGATTTATATGTATTTTGTTATTGTGCGATACCATAGTGTCTAGACAAGTTAAGGGCGCGCTGCAGGGCCGACGAACTCTTACTTGAAATTTGAGTGGGGGAGTATGGTCAATTTGGTGAGTTGCACAAAACTGTACGATACCTTTTTTTCGATATATCCTAAAAGATAGATGAATACAGATCTAGATCTAGAATTAAATGTTTTAACAAATTAAAAAATGAGACATATAATCACGTGATGTCGAGTATTTTGGCGACAATAGTTACAACTGTAATTGCAATTGATTCAAAACAGAAGAAGAAGAACAAAAGATCAATTCTATTTTGGGGGCTAATTTTCACGATTAGGTTTTGTCAGCTTGCGCCCAGACGTACGTACGTCACGTGTACGGACGTGTTTCAGACCTAGATTCTACTTAGTTTACTTCATTTTGTCAGCGGTAAGTCTTCTCTTTACTTACAATAACACACGATTAACTAATGTTTTTATTTAAGATATACTTAGACTGTATGTACCGTACAATATAGGGTGTCTGATCGCGCACCCGTACCCGTGTCTAAAATCTGTCCCATAGAGATCGCACGTAGCCTATCCCTATGCAGTCTACGTGCTTTGCGTGACCATGAAAATTGGTCGATGTTTTTATATAAATTGAAATTGAAACCTGGCTTTATTCCTCGTGATCTTGAAGGTGAAACTCAATGAATGAGGTGTCATATGAAAGAGCAGGTTACTCTCCATATTCTCCATATTAGGGGGCTACCCTCAAACTTCTAAAAATTTGTTGGTCAAAACAGCGATTGATTGAAATGTTGTTTGCATCCTAGAAATCTAGACTAGATCTAGGGCGCGTTCATGCTTGATTTTGACGTGCAGAATCAGGCATCTGTTACGCGTTTAGTTTAAAACACGGTTGCGTCTTAGCTCACTTTTGTAGAATCACCGAAAAACGGCGATCACGATCGCCGATCGTAAACTCACAAAAAGATGCGTTTACAATTTGTAAACGCGTTTAAATGGGGTCAACGCACTGACCTCTAGTGGGTCTACGTAGCATGCACAGTGAAGGTTTGCGAATCCAGCTGGAAGACCAAATAAGGCCACACACTGAGAATCGCCTGGGGGAGCCAGAGAAGTAAGCATGAACAGAATGGAACTGCGATCACGATGAGCGTTTAGAGTAAAGTACCCGGTTTTCGGCCACTTAAGACAAAATCCTATTTATTGGACTCTTTACTTCCTATTTATTATCATTTCTTGTTCAAATCATGAAGCAAATATTATTATTATTTAAACAAAAAAAGAATCCCCCAAAAAAATCACGAATTGCCATGACAATATTCATTTCAATTTTCACTGTTTTGGAGCCGGTTATCGGCCGAGCGTTTCAGTTTACGGCCGCATGTACAAAGTCAATAGGAAGCGCTCGCACGCGCCGTGCGTTTCTGCGCTGATGTATAGCACAAGCGGGCGGAGCAGGTATCCCACGCCGGAGCTCCCGGGTGCTCGCCTGGCCGAATACAGGCACAGCGGTGATCGGAAGTTGGAATCTGAATTAGACAGACATATCGTGTGTGCGTCGCGGTGTGCGGCTGCATTGATTTAATACATGCGATGAGATACTTTTGAGCTTGCGACCAGCACAAAATCGGGCTCTTTATCTGAAAAATACTTGAAATAAAGCTCATTTTATGGTACCCATATTTCTTACATACACGCGTAAGAAACTCGATTTTTCAGATTTGGGTAGCGGGACCGCCGATTACATCGCTAAAATGTGATATTTTAGGATATATTTTTCATTGCAAATGTGGTTCTTCAGTGACACTGGCATGGTATGGTATGTGTGGGATATGTGTTATGCTATTATGCGATGTATTTTAAAGTGATTTTACCATGTATCCAACCAATTGGCCGAAAACCGGAGCTGACCGATTACCGGGTACTTTACTCTACGATGAGCGTTTCAGATCGCTCATTCTGCCTTCAAAACTTAAGCATGAACGCAGCCCTAGATCTATATTCCTAGATCTAGAATCTATTCCTACTAGATCTACTGAGTCCTAGGCCTACTGAGTCTTAGCTCCAAAATTTGCCACTTTCCTGAACCGTGCTCCTCCCCGGGCTTACATCCGGCTAGACGTAAGCAAAATATCTATGCACTTATTTTTTTGCTAGCCCCAAGACTCGATCATTCGCCCCAACAAACGGTTTAAAATTTAAAAATACCCTTCCCCCTATTTGTTGGATCGGCTAAGGGAGGTGTGCGCTCAGCTCAGTCCAAACCATGGTTACATCTAACTCTTCAACAACTCAGGCAATGTGAACACTCCCTGTACCGTGGAGGAGTCCAAGTGTACTCCCCTCAAGTTCTTCATTGAGAAGCACGCTGGTGGTGTAGAGGGGGGTTGGAATGACCTCTTATCTGTCAACCCAGGGGGTTCATCTACTTCTATGATCCCTAAAGAGTGAGTATTAATAGGTGGTTATCTCATCAACTCAGCTCTTTATTAACATTAGAAAAAGAGGATCATGAGGGACCAATGGGCACCGCTTAGGTATGCATAATCCTGTCAACAAGCATCTTTGCAGGAACTTTGAGAATTTTCAATCTCTGTTTCTTCCCCATTATGCTAACTTTCAGATCATCTGCAGAAGGGGAGCTCTGTGGTTCGCTGGCTTCAGATGTGAACGCAACCAGGCCACCAAACTCTTCAACTTCTCAGGCAATGTGAACACTCCCTGTACCGTGGAGGAGTCCAAGTCTACTCCCCTCAAGTTCTTCATTGAGAAGCACGCTGGTGGTGTAGAGGGGGGTTGGAATGACCTCTTAACTGTCAACCCAGGGGGTTCATCTACTTCTATGATCCCTAAAGAGTGAGTATTAATGCCCCTCTGCACTAGATGGCCAGGAGGGATTAGAGGGATTAATGTGGTCACTGATAGGTGGTTATCTCATCAACTCAGCTCTTTATTAACATTAGAAAAAGAGGATCATGAGGGACCAATGGGCACCGCTTAGGTATGCATAATCCTGTCAACAAGCATCTTTGCAGGAACTTTGAGAATTTTCAATCTCTGTTTCTTCCCCATTATGCTAACTTTCAGATCATCTGCAGAAGGGGAGCTCTGTGGTTCGCTGGCTTCAGATGTGAACGCAACCAGGCCACCAAACTCTTCAACAACTCAGGCAATGTGAACACTCCCTGTACCGTGGAGGAGTCCAAGTCTACTCCCCTCAAGTTCTTCATTGAGAAGCACGCTGGTGGTGTAGAGGGGGGTTGGAATGACCTCTTAACTGTCAACCCAGGGGGTTCATCTACTTCTATGATCCCTAAAGAGTGAGTATTAATGCCCCTCTGCACTAGATGGCCAGGAGGGATTAGAGGGATTAATGTGGTCACTGATAGGTGGTTATCTCATCAACTCAGCTCTTTATTAACATTAGAAAAAGAGGATCATGAGGGACCAATGGGCACCGCTTAGGTATGCATAATCCTGTCAACAAGCATCTTTGCAGGAACTTTGAGAATTTTCAATCTCTGTTTCTTCCCCATTATGCTAACTTTCAGATCATCTGCAGAAGGGGAGCTCTGTGGTTTCGCTGGCTTCAGATGTGAACGCAACCAGACCACCAAACTCTTCAACTTCTCAGGCAATGTAAACACTCCCTGTACCGTGGAGGAGTCCAAGTCTACTCCCCTCAAGTTCTTCATTGAGAAGCACGCTGGTGGTGTAGAGGGGGGTTGGAATGACCTCTTAACTGTCAACCCAGGGGGTTCATCTACTTCTATGATCCCTAAAGAGTGAGTATTAATGCCCCTCTGCACTAGATGGCCAGGAGGGATTAGAGGGATTAATGTGGTCACTGATAGGTGGTTATCTCATCAACTCAGCTCTTTATTAACATTAGAAAAAGAGGATCATGAGGGACCAATGGGCACCGCTTAGGTATGTATAATCCTGTCAACAAGCATCTTTGCAGGAACTTTGAGAATTTTCAATCTCTGTTTCTTCCCCATTATGCTAACTTTTAGATCATCTGCAGAAGAGGAGCTCTGTGGTTTCGCTGGCTTCAGATGTGAACGCAACCAGGCCACCAAACTCTTCAACATCTCAGGCAATGTGAACACTCCCTGTACCGTGGAGGAGTCCAAGTCTACTCCCCTCAACTTCTTCATTGAGAAGCACGCTGGTGGTGTAGAGGGGGGTTGGAATGATTTCTTAACTGTCAACCCAGGGGGTTCATCTACTTCTATGATCCCTAAAGAGTGAGTATTAATGCCCCTCTGCACTAGATCGGGCGAGGAGGGATTAGAGGGATTAGTGTGGTCACTGACAGGTGGTTATCTTGTGCCAATATCTATCATGGTGCAGTTAAAGGAAGTTGAGAGAAAATTGTATTTCAAATATTTTGCTGTTCTTCAGAACAACTTGTTATTGCAAATTGAGTTTACTTTTAGATCATACACATACATGGTTGTAGAAAATGAAAGCAAAAATGAAATGCAAAAAAATAATGAAGTGAAAATTCATAGCACACACCTTTTTTTCTTTTCTTCTACTGCAGGTTCCTCATTTTACATCTTTGGTAGATGGATGGCTCTTTGCACTTTGACCAATGAGCTTATCTGTATTTCATCCATCAAGCACCGGTGATTTGATATTATCTCCAGCAATGGACATGATTGGAATAAAACAACCTTACACAACTGATAATGGCACTGTGACTAATTTATTTGTATGCATTCTTTTCTGTAATACTTGTTATAAGTAAGTTAAATTTGCATGATTTAAAAACCGCTAAAAGGTATACAATATTGACTATCCCTTTTGTGGTTTAGATATTTGATTAGGACCATAATTATGCACATGAAAAGTTACATCCTAGTAATTTGTCAAAAGACATATGGGAATCTCAAATTGGCAAATTAGCCATTCAACTGTGATGTAATTGCAGTATTTTTTTCATTTGTTGGAGACTAAATATCATTATTATTGCTTTTATTAAAATTATTATTATTGTGGTAATTGTTTATTTCTATTTTTGTAGTAATTGTGATATGGAAATGAGAAAAATATTTATAAAAGAATAGAAGTAGTAGAATGGCATGGAAATGAGAGAAACATTTATGAAAGAAAGATGTGAATATGAAAAAGAAAGAATATTTAAATGGAATTATATAGAAAAGAAGATAGATGACGGAATGAGAGGGAAAATAACGAGAGTAAATGAGCGATAGAGTGTGTATGTGGAGGGGGAAGGGATGACAATGGCAATTTAAACGGGATAACCTCGCTATCAATAAGGATCATTATTCATCAATGTCATTATTCATAATGCACTTCTACCATATACTAGCAAACTGCTATTCATATCATACAAATAGGTTGCTATTTAGAATATACATAAGGACCACTATCCACAAGGGTCACTATTCGGGAAAGGGACATAACAATGACTATTCATAGTTTAGATTAAAAAACAATATTCATAAGGGTCACCGTTAGTCACTATTCATAATATACAAACCCCTTTGCTGAATTATGAGCATCAAAACCCTCTTTTTTTGTTTATATGATGACAACAAAAATAACATCCTGAAAGATACTGAAACATAGACATATATATAGAAAAAGATAGAAAGACAAAATCGCAAGGATGAAAGCAAAAAATAGTATGAGCAAATATAATAATAAGAAATGATATGATAGGAAAACATAGGCCCTAATGATAATGAAATATTAAAATAAACAAGATAAATTGATCGATTAAACCAAACAATACCATTAGAAAGGTAGTAAGAGAAAACAAACCTTGAAACACTAAACAGATTGAGTAAATAATGACATGAAGAAAGATGGCAATACAACGCTCTTATTTGAAAATGAATGGGAGCTGTGAGTGATATCTTTGTTACATGTAGGCCTATGTTACTATTGATACGCGACAACACACATCTTTATACACAATGCACAACGGCTCGAAACGGACAAAATGGCGCCTGGATGGACGGGTGTGCATGAGTGATTCCGGAGAACGAAGATTACAGTGACCTGGATGGGATGGTAGTGGCTATGCCTACGGAGTTTGAAAGAAATTGGGATAGGGGAAAGAACCTAGAGAGGGCTCGCAAGCACTGCGTGCAAAAACCAATGGGATTTGGTGCATGTTCGTCATTGCAATCAAGATCGTTCTGGGGGCCAAAAGCCTGAACCCGATATGCCCCATAGACAATGCGTGTAATGCATGGGCGGAAAACGTACAGGATCTGTATTATGACCGGAGTTAAATTGTTTTTTCTCTCTCTCTTTATGTCTCTTTATGGGCCGTATTTGGTATCATTAGAAAGAAAATTTCATGGTTGTTATTGCAAACCACTCTTTTTTTTTCTATGATAATCCTATCGAAACACATGATGTAAAATAGATTTATAGGACAAAATGGCGTCTTAAATGGCCCCCTTGACCAATTTTAAAAATCCGGCCAAGAGGTGCCCTGCGTATTGGAACTCGGCATGTCACTGCAAATTTTCAAGGAAAAAAAAGGACGTTTAAGGGGCGAAAAGCAGTCTGAAAAAATGACGTCATAGCCGATACGTGTTAGATTCGGGCGGAAACTCGGCGGAATTCGTGTAGTGATCTTTGTTCAAATGCGATTTATTCACAATTTTCTGTGTGAACATATACTATACTTGGTATCATTCGAAAGGGCACTTCATTGCGGTCAGTTTGACACCATTGTTATCTTCGCGCAATGTATTGCACGCATTTAACGCGCTATCACGCAATGCATAGTAAATACATCATTTTTTGAGATAACTTTGCGCTGACATAATCAAATTTTACCAAACTTTGCGGACAGTTGTCACGTATATAAATACATGTGTGTGCCAAGTTTTATTGACGTAGGTCAAAGGATCGTAATTTTAGAGCAAGTTGAAGTTATTTTGGAATTTTCTTGAAAATGGCGAATTTGGAGGGCAATTTTCTCAAATTTGGTCAGTGATAGGGTATATAATTTTGTATATGGCTGGAAAGGGCATATCTTCAAGTATCTAAATCCAAAAAAGGGTACGGGTTTGCCAAGCCATTATGGAGATACGGCCACAGAGAGAAAGCCAATTCCCAGAACTTTAGAGGGCGCTATTTATGTTGTGCAAAGTCATTGGAGCGTGAAATTTGGCATGGCTATGTGCAATTATGAGATAAGGATACTGTGAGATTTAAATACAAAACGGAATTTATATGAGAAAGTTATGGCAGTTTTAGATTATTTAGGTGTCAATTTTTCAAGAATTTGAGAGATAGTTGACGGAGTCGGTTTCAGATTTGAATTTTGAGTATGAAGATGGCATTTTGAAGGGCAGGTTATACGTCGCAGATAAAAGAACATCTCTTGGACTATCTAGAGGAATTTGTTAGAAATGTGTAGGATCTAGGATAGTGGAGATAGGAAGGAAGAAAGAAAGGCCTTAAAATGGACCAGAAACGGACAAAATGGCGCCTGGACGGTTATGCATGAGTGATTTCGAAAATCGAAGAATGTAGTGACCTTGAAGGGATGTTAGAGACTATGCCTATGAAATGTGAAAGGAAAAGGACATGAGAAAAGCACCTAACTAGGAATAACAAACATTACGTGCAAAACGAATGCGATTTCCTGACGATAAGGAAAAGGAAAAGGAGGAAAAGGAGAATATTAATGGGGCAGAATGTGAACGAAAACAAGGCAATGACGAAGGTCGTCATTGCAAATACAAAAGAGTGTGACTTGCAGAGAAGAAAATAATACAATAAATCTCGTACATCTGCTGATTGAATGCAGGTTCATTCATGAATGGATAAACGATGCTAGGTCATGGACGATTACACATCATTGTTGAATATACAGTCAATGTACACACGAACATGAATACAGTAGAATTACACACGACATGATCAATACTTAAACAATAACATAGTTTTAACTGCCTTCTTAAAAGAATACAATGTCCTAAGGTTTCTTATTACAATGGGCAGAGAGTTCCAGATGTCTGGGCCGGCGTGTCTAATGGATTTGAGAGCCAATGCGGTTTTTGGATTTCTTAAATGGAATTTTTCAGTTTGCCTTGTAGGGTAGGAGTGGATGGTTTTATTCAAATTAAACAATGGGGGAAAGTATGAAGGTACATGTAGTAGACCTTTTTGTAAGCAAAACATGAAAAGTGCTATTTGTAGAAAATGTATATCAGCAGCTTTTAGAGTTTTTAGTTTTGAAAACAAGGGATTGGTGTGGTCGCGAAAGGAAGAATCAGTACATATACGCATGGCTTTCTTGAAATTGAAATGTATGTATTGCTGTTGGTAAAAAAAAGAAATCAAATCAAAAAAGAAAAACCGGACATGTATAACAATATCGACCCCCCCCCCCCCCCCCCCCTCCTCCTCCACATCACAGTCGTAGGCCTGGCTATTTGTATATGCATGTCGATTTAATTTCATGTGCAACGTTTTTACGATTTATATCAAGATAATGTTACAGGAAATAGATGATTTTCATTGAGTCTAATTTCTTCGTGTGTCTCTTTTTCCCGGTATCTTTTGTCCTTGTATACTCTGTTAATGTAAAGGAGCTAATTTCCGCTCGTCGAGGAGTGTGATTAGGGACCACTCCTTTTGGAGAGAAATTTGGACGGAATTCACCCTCAAAAGATGTAATGTTCACTCCAAAAAGACCGATTTTTTTTTCTAAAAGACTGAATTTATCGTCTTTTAAGAGCTAAATTTACATCTTTTGAGGGTGAATTCCGTCCAAATTTCACTCCGCAAGGAGTGGTCCCTAATCACACTCCCCGACGAGCGGAAATTAGCTCCTTTACATTAACAGAGTAGTCATCATTTTGTATTGTATATGCTCTTAGTTCAATGCTTTAGGTACAATATTTTGAAGGAAAAGTTGAGTTTTGTAGCAGAGGACGCTACACAAATTGTATTTTGATGAGATAATGAAAACTGAGTGTTATATTTGAAAGAACATATCATTTAAATGACAAAATCGTCTGTTTTAGATCAAAATCGGCACAGAGACGGCTGAAATATCCATAAATATAACGATTTCTTATATTTTGTGGTGCCCAAAAAATATTCTTATTTTGAACCAGCCGTTGAAAAAACGAGATAGCGCTTTTCACGTTTTATTCCAGCCATTGCCGATGTTGGCCGGGATCAGGAGGTATAACAGACGATGTTACATAATGCGAAATGGTATTATATAGAATTTAAGAACACAACATGTGACTGATGTGGAACATCGTAAAGATGATGTTATTTTCGATGGTATTTTGTCCAAATTGGTATAAAAATATTTATAAAGCTCACAAATCATTTTTACATTAACCAGAAACCAGCCTTCTCTTTGAATAATTTATAGATACCTGGTTTGTCTCTATTTTCTCGTTGCAGAACTCGTGGTCAGACATAAAGCAATGATGAGGTTCTGGCCCCGGAGGAGACTCATCATCGCTATCATCGCAGCATGTAGCTTACTCGTGTTCGTCTATCTCCCATGGACGAACTACAATCAGGCTTCCTTCGTGACAACATTGATTGGCGGTCATCGACGTCTAGCCGTGGTCGATGACCAGGCAAGGGATAACCCTACCTCGAGGAGAGACCGACAAATAAGTTTGAGGTTAGTGTGATTGATTTGAATCACTTTCTCAAATTCATCTTACAAAATAATTAGTAATTTTCTTTTCGATATTTGATTTCAGAACGTTTGACATTATTGTCTAGAAATGGTAATCAAAGGGAAGCATGCCCCAACAGAGCAGATATTTGCTCGGGGGTGTTTTCTTCAAATACAATAGGTGAGGGCAGGGCGTCGCTAGACCTTTTTCACTCTTAATCCTTGTCTGAATTCAGTTCCCCCCCCCCCTCCCGCACAAAGCGCGGCAGCTGTGACGTTTCATTAAATTATCAGAGAAAGAAGACGATTTGTTGTACTGTTTTCGATTCTTAATCCTTGTCTAAATTCAGTTCCCCCTCTCCCTCGCTAAGCGCGAAAGCCTTGACGTTTCATTAAATTATTAGAGAAAGAAGACGATTCGTTGTACTGTTTTCTACTCTTAATCCTTGTGTGAATTCAGTCCCCCCCCCCCCCTCCCGCGCAAGCTTTGACGTTTCATTAAATTATTAGAGAAAGAATACGATTCGTTTTACCGTTCTCTGCTCTTAATCCTCGTCTGAATCCAGTTTCCCGCGCGAAGAGCCGAAGCTTAGACGTTTCATTAAATTATTACTCAGTTTCCCCCTCCTACGCGAAGCGCGGAAGCTTTGACGTTTTATAAAATGTTAAGAGAAAGAAGACGATTCGTTGTACCGACTCTTAATCATTGTCTGAATTTTCAAAAATATTTCTTTGTCCGTTAAAAAGCCACAGTTCGTACGGAAAAAAAATTGCCGGCCGACCGACATAATACATCTCACCGACTTCAAACTTCTGCATTGATAGTACACGATGATTGAGCAAGAATACCGACACAGCTGACCCGACACAGCAACATAATGAACTATGCGTATCTTTCTTGCTCCCCCGCCCCCCCCCCCCCCCCCACTCAGTGTTATTAAGGGTACGCATATGCGTGTTTCCAGCACCCCCCCCCCGCCCTTTCAGCATAAGTCCGGTGTGTAAAATCAATACGGGTAGACCTTTTTCTTTTGTTATACGAGCCTTTTCAGCACCCCCCCCCCCTTTCAGCATAAGTCCGGTGTGTTAAGTCAGCGGCGGGTCCACTGTTACTAAATGATTTGTGGTACAATAACCTATTTTTCATGGTACAATGCATTATGGGTTAAGCGGTGGAGACTGAGAGTATTTGATACGGAAGTATAATAGGTCAAATAGGCATTCCAAAATTTAGATTCTTGACAGACAAAAATATGATCATGTAAGCACCTGCTAGACGGTCTGTTCACATTATCGCGACATTGTCTTTCGCACAATGTGTGTGATTTAGGCCTGCAACATTTTCTTCTAAACAATTAATCTCTCTCTCTCTCTCTCACCCTCTCTCTCTCTCTCTCTCACTCTCTCTCTCTCTCTCTCTCTCTCTCTCCCTCTCTCCCTCTCAGGTGTTCTGTCAAATGCATGTAATTCACACACCAGAGCCTTCTTTAGTTCTTTCTCCATCCCTCTCTCTACCTTGAACTTTCTTTCTCATCATGTCACATGATCTGCAATCACCTGTCACCGATCAAGACAGTCTGACACCCTCCAAATTATTGATCGAAAGAATGCTCATATGGGGAGTCATAATTTTTCCCAGTGTATTTCAGGACGGCGTCAGTGACCTATACAGTCTATTATGAAGCACCATAATGTGAAATTGCATGGTTCGCCCCCCCCCCCCACCCCCCCCCCAAAAAAAAAGTGATTGCAAAATGAGCAGTGCCAACATTGGTTAAATGGTGTAATGGTTAACTCTTTGGCTCTCATGGCCTTCTATTCTTGCGGACAGCCGACAAAGTCAAATGTCGCCAGCCTAGCCTCGATTCGCGCAGGTATAACGCAATCAAAATAACGCCTCGAGCCCTTATTATTGATGCGACATTAATTATTAATACGACTTGTGCATGCAGTCTTCGTCATCCGCGCAATTCAGTGTGTGTGTGCGTCTTGACTCTTGAATGTGGTGGGCCTTGGGAGATAAATGTGCAGTGAAAATGGCGGGACTTTAAGGACAAAATGTAGCACAGTGTTAACATGTCGCCATGTGTTTGATCAAAGAGGTACATCCTCCTTGGTTTGATCGTGAGTTGTTGTCGGGGAATCAAGGATGACCCACTTAAGGCTGGCCAGACAGGAAGACATTATTAAGTCTGATCATGGCTGACAGGCAACTTGGTTTTTCCCCGTCGCTAATGGGGAGGGGCCCTATAGGGAGTGTGTGAGATACCCCCCCCCCCCCCCCACCTGCTTGTTGGAAAATTTCAGCTACCTTGTCGGTTAATTTGGTCCGACACCTATCGACGTCCCTGGGGATATTAAGCATGATTGTAATAGACAATAATTAGAGAATGTGAGGAAAGTACTGTTCTGCCCCCCCCCCCTACCCCTCCTAAGTTGTAAAAATCTCGTGTGCGGAGAGGTAGGATCGAGGGTGTTCACATTGTGTTAAGTATAACGGCCATTTTTACTTTTATCAGACGATTTGTACGTTTTCTATGAAAAATAAATAAAAAGCTGGTTAGGAAAAGAATACAAATCTATACGAATCAGTCTATGAGGGAAAGGGCAGCTTTTTAATGATAGCCCCCCCCCCCCTCCTCTCCAGTCCCGTGACTTAGCGATGTCCCTTATTATTGATGTGGCATTATTTATTTCATGCTTTGACCCGTGTTGCAATTGACGAGGGTGTGTTCTGTGTTCTTGTAATCTGCCCATGGACCTCAAAACGTACGTTTTCTATGAAAAATAAATAAAAAGCTAGTTAGGAATAGAAAATCCCTTTTTTACGAATCAGTTTCTGAGGGAAGGCCGCCACCCCCTCCCCCTCCCCCCCCCCCCTCTCCCGTAACTTTAATAGCGATGTCCCTTATTATTGATGTGGCATTATTTATTTCATGCTTTGACCCGTGTTAACGAGGTTGTGTTCTATGTCGGGGTTCTATTTTCTTGTAATCTACCCATGGGCCTCAACACGTTGGTCTTCTCCCACTAATCACTGTCTAAATATTGAATTCTAGTGGCTCCGCTGACCAAACTGAATGCCGAGCCTGATTCCAGGGCCTTCGTCTGTCGTCTGCGTTACGTAAACTTCTTTCATTTCACAGACTAAACTTTCACGCCCTGATGACAAGACTTCATTATTGACAAAGAGTTTGGCACACCCAAAGACCTTTGGACTGTGTGCATAGGGAGGAATTAGAAGCTCAAAATTAAACACTTTTTGTATGCATAAAAAAGTGTGTACACAGAATGAAGGTTGTATCAACCAAGGAATCTCCTTGATCAAACCGAATCAAATTGCAGGTAACGGTTACAAGAGCGCCACTTGTGTATTTTTTAGAGGGGGGGGGGGGGGGGGGGGGGGGCATATTCTCTTGCGAAAGGGCGTGGTACAAGCGCACCGAACGTTGGACCTTCTACCACTCGCCCCACAAAGCCATGCAATGAAAAGAATAAGACCAATCGGGGTGCACTGGTGGATCCAGGGCCCGGCCCCCCGGAAGAAAAACGTGTAAAAACACGTTAATTTTACCATTTTTTTGGAGATGCCCCCCTCCCCCCTGGCGCTCAAGGGGAGGGGGGGGGGGTGCGATTTTTCAAATGTTCGAGGAACAAAAAAAATATTGCTCACTACCGACACTACCGACCGTCATTCCTTATAACGACGATTTCGGTCTTGAACTTTTTTTTTTACAACGTTTGACTAGACCAACGACCCGTGAGACTTACAGTACATAACAATGCAATTAAATAGGACATTTAGAAAGGTAGAATATTCCAAAGGTTGATGATACCGACAAAACAGGGAAATACATAAGGAAAGATGTATTTTTTTTAATGTCAGGATTGTATGCTGTTGGTCCCATGATCTTGTGGCAAAAAGTTGGTTCAGACAGCTGACATAGTTCTCTCAACACTAATACCTTATCGAAAACTGTTTCTCAGTATTGTGCTTTTTGAAAGTTTTCATATGAGTGAAGTGAATATAATGAGTTAAACAATTCATTACATACTAGCCTGATTGTTTTTTTTTTATATTAACGTAAATTAAAATTTTCCTTCTTATCTTTCTGTCTACCACAATACAGCGTCATACGTAATGCCTCAAGGCCCATTGATTGGTCCAATGCTGTACCGAAACGTAAGGATGACGTCATCAGCGGTGTGTCGCTCCACCAGCGTAGGTTCGGAAACAGTCAGCAGGAAAAAGGTAAAGTGACAGGAAAGGCAGTAGCGTATCACTCAAAATATTAAATGGTTAATTAAAATTATATTAGATTTCAGTGGACATAATTATAAAGGAAGAGGTAAAGAAAGTGAGTGAAGAGGTGTAAGTATAGGGAACTATTAAAAGAAGATACTAAATCAATTGATTAAATTTCCCATCCCCTCCCTAATGTCTCTATTTCTGAATCTTTCTGCAGATGGATTGGTACAAGGAGGGCCAGAGAAGCAATATCGGTCTCAAAGCAAATACCGCAATTCACAACAAAAGATAAAGACAGAGCTCTCACGAAATCTCCGTGACGGCAAAGCCATAGAGGTCCTCAGCGCCGACCCGGTACGAAAAGACGTGAGCGGGAACGGTGGAAAGTGTCTTCCTCGCCACAATGTGGTCTTCTGGAAGACCCATAAGTGCGGGAGCTCGACGATGCAGAACATGATGTTCCGTCATGCAATCAAGAACGATCTCCGACTGTTGTTGCCGCCTAGGACACATCTCTTTGATCTGATACGGCGGTTTAATGCTACCAGGGACGTCCCGAGGGATTTTATTGAGAGGGGGAAACACTTCAACATGTTCGCGCACCATGCCAGGTTCAGCGCTCCAGGCAAGAACCAAACTAAACTCAACTTTTCAAACATTCAGTCAAACTTTTTATTTAACGATTAAATATTTTATTCAAACATATTTGACAAAACAATTAAAATATTAGAACAAATAGACAAATTGGCGAAAACCAAACAGATACATCAGTTGTACATGTCTTCTCCAATTTAGTAAACCAAAAAAGTTCTTGTGTTAAGTAGGAAAGTATCCACTCATGTCGAGTCTGAGTTGTGCCTATAGTGCCAAGCTCTCCTGGATCCAGCCTGTTTATATGATTATTTTACACAGGCCTGTAGTAAGCCTGTGCACCACTTTGTATAATTTTATTGACCTTCAACTATTATCTTCTTTTTTCCCTCCTAGATATAGCAACCCTGATGCCTCGAGATAGCCTCTACGTCACGATCCTGAGATCACCACTGACCCTCTACGAGTCCATCTACTCCTATCTGGGACTTGGTAAGGACTTCGGCAACCAGACACACTTAGTTAAGATTAATACCTTCTTGAGGAACCCAAACGCATTTTACAACGCGTCGGACTTAAATGTACATCGCCGCTATGCCCGAAACCCTCTCCTCTATGATCTCGGGCTAGAGCCGAAAGACATGGACAGCAAAACGAAGATTGCGGACACCATTCTCGAAGTGCAGCTCAGGTTCCATTTTGTGTTGATCTCGGAGTACTTTGACGAATCTCTGGTTCTATTAAAAGATTTGATGTGCTGGGACTTCAGTGATATAATCTATCTAAAGTTAAACGCGAGGGAGCAGATACATAAAACTTCGCCATATACCGCTAACAAGATCGAGAAGTGGAATTACGGTGATATGCAGCTTTATCAGTACTTTAACGACTCCTTTTGGAAGAGAGTGGAGGCGTACGGGCGCACCCGTATGGAGCAGGACGTTAGGACGTTGCGAGATTTGAACGCGCGGTTGATGGGCCGCTGTGTAGAAGAAGCAACCAATGCAGATGATATCGAGGACCAGGAATCTCAATGGCATCCTGAAGGTATCAACATTGTTGCGTATCGCCTGAAGGCATCGGCAGTGAACGATCGTACTTGCAGGGATATCATCAAGTCCGAGAAACCCTTTACGGAGGAGATTCGGGCCAAGCAAGGGGACTATTATTTTGCACCGAAAGGTGCTGAAGAGTTAAAGAAATGGTGGCATATCGAGGACGAGTCGGAGAAGAAGGCTGTCAAGGTTTTGGACGCAATGCTTGACCGGATCCATCCTCAAGAAAAACCACCTTGAGTCTATAAAGCATCATTATAATTATATAACTCAGAGGTGCATCAGATATAACTCGATACTATAGAACGAACTCGATAGGCATTGATCAACGGGGTTTAATGAGTTCAAGTGCTACCTATAATACACAGCAGACCGCTACCAATTTTCGAAGAGATCATTTACCGCTGTATTGGGTGGATTATCGTCGCACTGGGCCAACACCGGGGGTGCCAACTCGGCATTTCCACCGGGTCCGAGTCGGGCATGGTGTTGAGCTAGCCTGGATTCCCTCTAAATAGTCCTAAAATCATGATCATCTACATAATTTCAAGTCTACAAATACCTTAAAGTACTTATTTACTAATTAGTTTTCACATTCCTAGCAGAGAAACTTGAAAATTAGTGTTTAAAAAGACGTACTTAAGGCGAAATTTAGGCCAATATTAGCAATTGTTGAGCTCTTCTAGAAAATTCGGCCTTTATTATTTACCGAGTCGTCCTTAGTGCTGATCCCCCTGTATCACGGCTCATTTTGAGATTGTGATTGAGATGAGTTTGTGCCATGCATGGATCGAGAGTCTTCTGCACTCAATGTCGTCAGCAGTACACAAGAAAGGAAATGGATTGTCAAACCTTTTAACGAAAGTATGGTGCTTGGTTACTAATCATAAGTGATTATGGTAGACTTGGTTATAATAAATGGGAATATGATGATGGATACAACGTATATTATAAGCCCGTCGCATAATAGGCTACGCGTCGTTGTCTGAGGTTAGACTCAGTGTCAATCATTTTTGTGACCTTAAAATTAGAAAAGTATAGTACATTGAATTTTGCAAACATTGCGTTGCATGGCGCAGGTAATAATGCAAGCGAAATGACGCCTCATAATTATGAGCAACGAGCATGGAGTGGCAAATTATCTTACACCCCCCCCCCTTTTTTTTCTCCACTAAATTATTCACCAGGGCTTATTACATTAATTATGCAAATATACCATCGATTGACAATCATAAATCCACCACTTGTAGCGGCGGGCGCGGGGAGCCGGCCCCTCACTTTTTTGGGAAAGTATTTTGAAGAGAAATAAAAAAGAAAGAAAGAAAGAATAGTGACCTGCCAGTGTTTAAAAATAAGGTATCAAAATATGCTCATCTGACCATAATTAAACGCCTAAAACCCCGGGGGCTCTTCCCCCTGGAACCCCACCAAATGCCCTTAAGCGGGCCCTTGGATGATCATCTGACCTTAATTTAAAGCCTTAAACCCCTGATCTTTAGGGGCGATCCCACGCCAATTAGTGACCAGCCAGTGTCACAAATAAGGGATCAAAATACGCTCATCTGATCGTAATTAAATGCATAAAACCCTGAGCATCCGGGGGCTCCATCTCTTGACCACCGCTGGGGCTTTGCCAGATGGACCCCATGCAAATTTACGCTCCACGCTCTACCTGATTATTAATACTTTAGCCCCCCCCCCCCACCTTTGAAAAACGTTCCGCGGGGCATGCATGTAACATATACGAGTGGTGGTGATGCGGATTTTTGTTATTCTGCCCCCCCCCCCCCCCCGGTCATGAAAATTAATCGCCGCCCGTGGTTGGCTGCAATCTCGTCTCGACCTCTGACTGCATGGGCTTCCATGAATTAGCGTATAGCTCCGTGTGGAAACAGCATGTCCTTCCCTTCTCGAATGGCGAAACAAAAGTGAGAGAGGAAAGGAAAGTGAAGGGGAAAGGTAACAAAAAGGGAGATGTTAGGACTTCCTGCCACACCTTCCCGACTAATCGATGATTTTGTTAGTTTTCGATCATCATCATGATTTTCATCTGCCAGTAAGACCATTCTCCCCCACCCCGCGTGCATGATGACTTTGCCTAAACGGCTGGACCTGCCCTACGCATCCGATTCAGATCCTTTGAAGTCTCACTGATATAACATTTTTCATAATATTGATGGTTAACCTCCCCCCCGCCCGTATCGTAAATGCGACCATATGCGGAGGGGGGGGGGGGAGGGTGGATTTGCAGCCTGATTTTAGAGGTGGGACAAAATGTTGTCGATTTTCAGTAATTATCCTACGCACATTTTGTATAGATATTTATATTCTTCAGAAGAAATTTATCTGATTCATGGTCTTTTGTATTGAATTATTTTGTGGGTATAAATCTTGTTATATAAATATGTACATTACCAGATAGGACAGGTGTAATGAACACAAGTTTATCATTTTTATCCAATATTTGTGAAATAGTTAACGGTACAGTACTTCAGATGCTTAGTAATTGGAACGAAACTACGTGTAATATCAATATTGAAATATATGCAAAAGCGTGAAATATGAATTCCCAATGTTTGATTTTATAGTGAACAATTAAATCGGGATTAGAGTAGAGATTTAATATATCAAAATATTGTTTTATATTTTATTATACGCCCGTCCCAATCCAAAAGTTGCATTATGTTAGGTTACCACCGTAGGTTGGGGAATCTTTATATTTTTGAAGAACTTACATCTAATTCTATATACCGTATGTAAAAGTAACATCATATTTTAAATTTATACAGAGCGTTTGTATGATATGAACAAATAAGTTGTGCTTTACACCATTTTTTTTTTTACACTGTGAATTTTTGAATGGTGCTAGAAATTTGAAATACAGCTCATGCATTTGTACAAACCAGAATAAGATTGTTATAACTTTTCATTTACATGTTAGCGTATAGTTGTCATCTTTATGGCACGTTCCGTCCGTCATTAACGTAACGACTTTACATGCGTTCTATATCTGTATGGTCGCACAGATGTATGGATGCAGGCGCAGATCCAGGGGGGGGGGGGGGGAGCGGGCCTTGCCAGAATAAGAGAGAGAAGGAGAGAGAGAAGGAAAGAGGGGAAAGGGAGAGAAAGGGAAAGAAAGAAGAGGAAGAAGAAAAGAAAAGGGGGAAAGAAGGAGATAGGGGGCCCGAAAGGGCCTTGCCTCCCTCCCCCCCGCCCCATCAAAAAAAATAAGAGAGAAGGAAGGAAAGGGAAAGAAAACGGGAAACGAGGAGATAAAGGGGAGGGAAATTAAACACCCCCTCACCCCCCCCCCCCCCATCAAAAAGAGAGAGAGAAGGAAGGAAAGGGAAAGAAAACGGGAAACGAGGAGATAAAGGGAAGGAAATTAAGAAGAAGAAGAAGAAGAAAAGAAAGGAAGGGGGATGTGCAGTTGCAACTTTCCCGCCAACAAGTTGTGAATCGGGGAGGGGGAAGGCCCTTGCCTCTCCCCCCCCCCCGCCCCCGCCCAAAAAGAGAAGGAAGTGAAAGGGAAAGAGGAGAGCTAAAAGGGAACAAAAAGAGGAAGAAGAAAAGAAAAAGCTGAAAAGAAGCGGAGATCAGTTGCGATTAATTTCCGTCAACAACGTGTCGATCAGGGGGGGGGGGGCGAAAGCCCTTGTCCCCCCTCCCTCCAGCAAACCTATACGAGAGAAGGAAGTGAAGGGAAAGGGAAAGAGGAGAGAAAGGGGAAGGGGGAAAAAAGTATAGAAAAGTAGGGGAGATTAGTTGTGATTTTTCCCTCCAACAAGGTGTAAATCGGGGGTTAGGGCAGTTGTCCCATATACCGCTAAATACCGGTGACTTACACATTTTGCTGAAATTACATAATTTTCTCCACTTTTTCCTCACTTTTTAGTAAATTATACTTTTTTATACGTTTGTTGGAAAATGACAAATTCCTAAATTTACAGTAAGGCAAGAAATATGTTTTATTAGAGGCCAACATGTCAGGGCCCGTGGAACGGCGGGGCTCGGGAGCCTCGAGCATCTAAATATCTTCATCTGACAGTAATTAAATGCCTAAAACCCCTGAGCTTCCGGGGGCCCCCTGGACCTCACGCCAATTAGTGTCCTGCCAGTGTCACAAATAAGATATCAAAATATTTTCATCTGACCGTAATTAAATGCCTAGAACCCCTGAGCCTTCGGGGGCTCCGCCCCCTCGACCCAGCCAGGGGCCCTTAGGCGGCCCCTGAATGCTTATCTAACTGTTTGTCTGGGGGCTCCCCACCCCTTCCCTGGACCCCACGCCAATTTATTTTCCAGCCAGTGTCACAAATTAGGTATCAAGATATGTTCAGCTGACCGTCATTAAATGCCTAAAACTCCTGACCTTATGGGGCCTTCGCCCCCTCGACCCCACCAGGGGGCCTCATTTGACAGTAATTTAATGCCTCAAACGCCTGAGCTTCTGGGGCTCAGCCCCTGGACGCCACGCCAATTAATGACCTGCTAGTGTCATAAATAAGGTATCAAAATATGCTCATTTGACCATAATATGCCCATACCCCCCGAGCTTTCGGAGGCTTCGCCCCTTGACCCCCCGGCGGTGCTTTGCCCTTAGACCCCACGCCAATTTACGTTACGCTCTACCTGATCGAAATACTAACCTCAGCGGGACCTGCATGTAAGAGGGAGGTGATGCAATTTTTTTGTCTGACCCCCAAAAAACTATAAAAAAAAACCTTTTTTGCTCATTCCGCCAATGCTGTACCAATATTTGGCTCGCATGAATTCAAATTTGCCCCCCCCCCCCCCCCCTCCTGTAAGAAATCCTGGATCCGCGCCTGTACGGTTTCCTTCGTTCTGATTGGTTAAAAGCCATCCAATGGATGTTAGGTTGCATAGTTGTCATGTTTATGGCACGTTCAACCCGTCATGCGAGGGTGATGGGATTTTCATTCAAACGGGGAAATTATGATGCTGATGCACGTTTTTTTTTATTATTTCATATTGTTTTTGAATAGTTTCACTTTCGTACTTTAATACAATTGATATACAGCGCTGAAGAATGCGAGAGAATGGCGAGGGACAAAGAGGGAGAGAGAGAGAGAGAGAGAGAGTGAGATGGGGGGGGGGGGGGGGGAGAGAAGATTATTAATATTCTACCTCCCACCACGTTTTCCGGTTTGTACTTCGCCTATACTTTTCATATCTTCCTCCTCCAAGTTTTCTCTTCAACTCTTTCAACCATCTTCATAAGTTCATATTCTCTGGTCATAACATTCTTTTATATTATCATTCTTCTCCTTCAACTCTCCCAAGTCATCTTCATCTCCCTTCCACTACTTTTTCTTTTGACATCCTGTATATTTCTTCAAATCTTCTCTTCCGATACACTCACTCTCATATCTTTCATATTTCATTTTCTCCTCAGACTCTTCCACTTTTCATAAAAACTCCCCCCCCCCCCCCCACACCATATTCTCCCATTTCCTGTTCATCGCCTTTCTCCAAAAACATCATCATATTCTCTCCTACCATGTTTTCTCTCCATGCTCTCTCTCACCTCCAATCCAATACTCCCAGAGTAACTATCTATCTCATATTCTGGTTGAATGAAACAATCTCAAACTAAAACTGCTCCTTAACTAATTGAATTCCTAACTTTAACCTGGGATAAAGTAACTATCACCTCAAATTTTCTACCAAACAGATTTCCATTGATTTTCATGTAGGCCATCACATTAACAAATGAAGGTCAACATTTTGTTTAGAAATTTGCTCTGATATGATTCTTTTTCCGTTGGTGTGATCAAGGATTTTGTAATAGAGAGGAAGCACAGTTTGTTGATTGAAATAACGATTCTGATTAGTTAAAAGTAGGCCTTGTTAACAATATGGCCATTACCATTAAGCAATTGAGTACAAACCTTGAATTTGCAGGGCCCCAAGTACGCCACTTTAGGTGCTGGACCTAGCCCTAAACCTAACCTGAAACCCAACCCTAACTTTTAATGAAATAGAGGCAGGAGCAATTGTCACTAGAGCGAATGTCTAAGCACAAACTATGTCTGCAAGGCGGATTCCATTCATATATGAATTCATAAGTGAATCATTAGGCATTTTGGGAAGGAACACTAATAATATTTCAATACATATAAGTAAACTGGTGGCCTACTGAGAGAAACACAAATGATGGATGCGAACACTGCTTGCATTGGGTTTTCAGGGCATTTTATTGACTATTTTGTCATATTGTCTTAATTTACAGGTTATTCCTTGGAGTCCTTGACCTTCTTGGTTCCACGCAGACGTCCGGTACGGCGGGCAGCGATCAGACCGACCTGAGATAGGAAAGCAAGCGAGAAGAGAAATGAGATTAATACATGTAGGAATAATAATAATACTCTGTATGGCATATGGTAATAAAACTTTGTACAGCACATTTTAGATAAGAAAGGTCAGTTTTTAAAGATGCATTTTTGGAATTGAGGTGGAAAAAAAGCAAGATGTCCTTGTGCATAACTCTTCATTCCATGAAGGGTTGCTCCACTAAGGAATTTGACCCAAATGTTCCTACCGTTTCCACAAAACATGAAAATTGACCTCTAAATTTGAAGACTTATTCATCATGCCTAATTATACACCCTGCAAAACTTAAACAATCACCGTTACAGTGAACCTTGTTATGAATTAAAACAGTTGCAACATCTCTTCTTATAACAAGGTAATTCGGCCGGTCCGGCTTCATTGTATTGTATTCTATTCTTTTCAACCGATAAAAGAAGGTTTCATGATGAGAAACATTCCTTCGTCCTCGAGAGAGATTCATGCTACAAGTAACAAGATTCCACTGTGTCTCCACATGCACTAGTTGGTCTGTATTCTACTAATTCAATTCAACCTGAACCTGTGTCTGAAATTATGTTTAACAATATGACTGTAGGGCACTCAGGGGGAACGGTTTTAATACTCATGTCATCATGTGGCTAACCTGGGTAAGACATATATTATTATTATTATTATCGTTATCATTATTATTTATGTGATAATGACCTCAGACTTACTTCCCTCTTTGCCCCGGGTACAAGATCACATTTAACAAAAAGGAAAACTTAAAACTTCAGACCAGCTTCCTTTATTTTAAATATAACCCTGATTTTGAGCAAAGGCCTCAAATCAAAGTAGGGGGCCAGTTACACAAACATAATGTTAGCAAATGACTATGATATTCAGTAAGCTTTGTCGACAGGGCCCAGGTTAAAATTTCAGTAGAATACAGGCTGTCGAGTTTGAATCTTGAACCTACCTTGCGACCAGCCGAGGTGTCCCTCCTGACTGTAGAGGGTGTACCAATATGTTGATGGTTTCCACCACCGTGGGGATGGTCAACGGGGTTCATAGCAACACCACGCACTCGGGGCCAGCAGTTACGTTTGACCTTGTACTTGAAGTAGGCACGTCCAGCCTTCAAGAGGGGCTTGTCGATACGTCCGCCACCAGCAACAACTCCTGTTCAAATGAAAAAGGAAATGGTGTCGTTTTTAGAGAATGCATGTTTGACAAGAAATCAAGTTGGTTAGAAAAATCAAACTATGGCAATATAAACGAGAGAAGGAAGTGACCAGAATAGTATGAAGAGGCTCAAACGTCACAGGGGGCCTTGCTTTTTTTCAGAACAAAGAATAGACTATAATTTCTTCTTTTGGATCTTCCACCAATAAAGGAAAAATCCATTTATTATGGATTGAATAAAATGATAACTTCTATGAAAATACAGCACATTTAAAAATGCCATTGCCTATTTCTGTGGCAACCTGGAGTACATTAGCACATATCAATACATAATTTGTTGCAAAATTGAAGTAATCATGGTCAACTTTCAGTGAATTCCTTACTCCTTGAGAGTGACAGATACGAGTA